ACACAGTGAAATGAAATAAACCTTCACAAATTCGCGTCGTGTTTTCTAAACGTTAAAACTGTTTTAACTTTGCATGACTTTCTTTGCATCTCTTGCATGAGACGCGAGTGCAGCAGTCATATTTGTCCGCCTAAAAATGTGCGGAATATACGTTCTGTGTGAATGGCTTGGTTTCGGTTTTAACCTAATCAAGATCTTCTACGCATTGAGCTACTATAGTTCTCTAATATTTTAAACATCAAAATGCAACAACGTCACTTACATCATCATCGCACGTCACTGATGACGCTCCCTGATGCACACCTAACATTCGACTGTACCATTTTTGCATTCAAATGCAAATGTTTATTTTAAATTCGACTAATATTCTTTTTTTTTTTACTCACAATCTCCTCATCACAGGCAGGCACACCACTCTTGTTCGTGTTTGTGTGTGCCGTCTGCGTCACTCATAGCACGTGCCTATATCGAAAAATGTTTCTATCGTTATCGATGAAGGTGTACCGTCGATAAATATCGATACCGTTTTATCGCCCAGGCCTAGGCTAAACAGAATCTAATGCACAGACAGATGTCAAACTCCACTGGGCATTGGGTGTTTAGTCCAATTATGACCTGTGTTTAAGAGCAATGGTACTTATTTAATCTGTTAGCATTCATAACATTTCAGCTTTGCACTTATGAAATTCTCAGCATATCATATGCATGCAATCTCAAAAAGTACTTGCATTTCTATATAGGTGTCAGTGCTCACACTGCTGTTAGTGTTTGGCTCTGTTTGTTTGCTAGCTCTGTAATTTGTCAACACCATTGAAATGAAAATGAAATGCACAGGTTGTTGAGATGTGTACAAGGGAGTACTGCCTATAGGGGGCGTATAATGGTTCAAAATTGTTCACCATACGCCAGAGGTTTTCAAAATAGGGCCCGGGGACCCCAGAAGGCTACAAGGGAGTGCTAGGGTGTCTAAATTTTAATGAAAAACTGTGTAAAAATTGCAAATTATAGAAGACTATAAGAAGTAAGTAGCTCAATTTAAAAAAATACAATAAAATAAAGGTTTAATTTAAATATTAGATCAAATTAGATTCTAATAAATAAAAAATTATTAAAATATTCTAATAAATAAACAGACAAAAATAAACAGTACAGCACTATAGGTAGTAGAAAAATAATGAAATTATGTAACTTAAAAGCAGCCAAATATTTTCCAAAGTATGTTTCAGACATTTAAATATTTTTTATTTAAATATTTACAAAATAAATTGGGTCTTTATACAAGAAACCATACAGATGCATTTTAAATTTTAGGATGGGGTTCCTCACACACGCATGACGTATGGACCCTTATCACAAGACTGTGATGACGCGTTTAACAGTCATCAGCATCGTAAATCCTCAAAGGTTTTTCATATTTAGATTTTTCTTTTTTTAATGTATGTACATTTATAACACTACTTTGTATTATATCACCTTTGCATCTAATTACAAAAAAACTAGTTAACGCTAATGTGAGGGTGTTTCTAATGCAGCATCTACGGGAGGTAAATTTAACATCGTTCTCTCTTCTGAATGCTGTAATCGGTCACTCTCAATTTCTTTTCCTTTTTTGAAAGTCTTTTCAACTGAGTTTTTCCTTTGCTATTTGAGCAAATGGGAATGCAAAAAATATATTTGTGTTACCCACTCACTGCTCTTGAAGTTTACCCAACTATGACCACTTCCGCTGCTGAGAAACCCAGAAATGTAAAAAAGGTCCATGGCTAAAAGATAAACAATCCCTGTCACAGAGCAACTGAAATTTTCAATTATTTATTCCTGGGTATTGATTATTAATTCTAAATTGAATATTTCAACAACAACAAAAAAAAAATGCAAATGCTACTAATGACTATAAATGAACTGCAAAACTGTCAACTCTGATAACTGGCATACCCACATCCCAACATTTTAATCAGCACAAATCAAATTATTATTTATTCTGTCATATGGAATGTTTAAAACTTTAAAGAAAGCAACTTTGTGGAGAAAAAAACAAAACAATGGCCAAATGGTCATTAGCCATTTTCAGCACATCATAAAACCCATCTGGCTTGAACTCTTTTGACAAAACAGTGAATTTGATTATTGAACATGTCCCCATATTCGTATTTTCATGTATCATGTGACTTTTAACTGTCCAATTAAAAAGCTGCTTTCTGGGACGTGTTTTAGAACCTTCAGTCCGCTCTAGGCTCTCGCCATATTTCTACAGCTACAACCGAAATAGAAGTTTAGCCGCGGCGCTGTGACGTCATGAAGCAGAAAGGGTTCTAAACGCACGCGGCCACTTTTGTAAAGCCGAAATACCCGCGTGCTGCAGGCGGCGATAAAAAGCACGTAAAATATGTCAAATTCATGTGTAATTGTCTCAAAACCAACACGACGCCACAACACAGGCCCCTGCTAACCAGCTAGCTTCCCCACATCACTTAGCATGGGACTTCAACACACATACTGTTCTGACACCTTAGTGCCTCAGACATCGGTAAACAGCGAGGTTTTTGGATCACATTCACATGAATGATATTCCTAATTCGACTAATATTCTTTTTTTTTTTACTCACAATCTCCTCATCACAGGCAGGCACACCACTCTTGTTCGTGTTTGTGTGTGCCGTCTGCGTCACTCATAGCACGTGCCTATATCGAAAAATGTTTCTATCGTTATCGATGAAGGTGTACCGTCGATAAATATCGATACCGTTTTATCGCCCAGGCCTAGGCTAAACAGAATCTAATGCACAGACAGATGTCAAACTCCACTGGGCATTGGGTGTTTAGTCCAATTATGACCTGTGTTTAAGAGCAATGGTACTTATTTAATCTGTTAGCATTCATAACATTTCAGCTTTGAAAAATGTTTCTATCGTTATCGATGAAGGTGTACCGTCGATAAATATCGATACCGTTTTATCGCCCAGGCCTAGGCTAAACAGAATCTAATGCACAGACAGATGTCAAACTCCACTGGGCATTGGGTGTTTAGTCCAATTATGACCTGTGTTTAAGAGCAATGGTACTTATTTAATCTGTTAGCATTCATAACATTTCAGCTTTGCACTTATGAAATTCTCAGCATATCATATGCATGCAATCTCAAAAAGTACTTGCATTTCTATATAGGTGTCAGTGCTCACACTGCTGTTAGTGTTTGGCTCTGTTTGTTTGCTAGCTCTGTAATTTGTCAACACCATTGAAATGAAAATGAAATGCACAGGTTGTTGAGATGTGTACAAGGGAGTACTGCCTATAGGGGGCGTATAATGGTTCAAAATTGTTCACCATACGCCAGAGGTTTTCAAAATAGGGCCCGGGGACCCCAGAAGGCTACAAGGGAGTGCTAGGGTGTCTAAATTTTAATGAAAAACTGTGTAAAAATTGCAAATTATAGAAGACTATAAGAAGTAAGTAGCTCAATTTAAAAAAATACAATAAAATAAAGGTTTAATTTAAATATTAGATCAAATTAGATTCTAATAAATAAAAAATTATTAAAATATTCTAATAAATAAACAGACAAAAATAAACAGTACAGCACTATAGGTAGTAGAAAAATAATGAAATTATGTAACTTAAAAGCAGCCAAATATTTTCCAAAGTATGTTTCAGACATTTAAATATTTTTTATTTAAATATTTACAAAATAAATTGGGTCTTTATACAAGAAACCATACAGATGCATTTTAAATTTTAGGATGGGGTTCCTCACACACGCATGACGTATGGACCCTTATCACAAGACTGTGATGACGCGTTTAACAGTCATCAGCATCGTAAATCCTCAAAGGTTTTTCATATTTAGATTTTTCTTTTTTTAATGTATGTACATTTATAACACTACTTTGTATTATATCACCTTTGCATCTAATTACAAAAAAACTAGTTAACGCTAATGTGAGGGTGTTTCTAATGCAGCATCTACGGGAGGTAAATTTAACATCGTTCTCTCTTCTGAATGCTGTAATCGGTCACTCTCAATTTCTTTTCCTTTTTTGAAAGTCTTTTCAACTGAGTTTTTCCTTTGCTATTTGAGCAAATGGGAATGCAAAAAATATATTTGTGTTACCCACTCACTGCTCTTGAAGTTTACCCAACTATGACCACTTCCGCTGCTGAGAAACCCAGAAATGTAAAAAAGGTCCATGGCTAAAAGATAAACAATCCCTGTCACAGAGCAACTGAAATTTTCAATTATTTATTCCTGGGTATTGATTATTAATTCTAAATTGAATATTTCAACAACAACAAAAAAAAAATGCAAATGCTACTAATGACTATAAATGAACTGCAAAACTGTCAACTCTGATAACTGGCATACCCACATCCCAACATTTTAATCAGCACAAATCAAATTATTATTTATTCTGTCATATGGAATGTTTAAAACTTTAAAGAAAGCAACTTTGTGGAGAAAAAAACAAAACAATGGCCAAATGGTCATTAGCCATTTTCAGCACATCATAAAACCCATCTGGCTTGAACTCTTTTGACAAAACAGTGAATTTGATTATTGAACATGTCCCCATATTCGTATTTTCATGTATCATGTGACTTTTAACTGTCCAATTAAAAAGCTGCTTTCTGGGACGTGTTTTAGAACCTTCAGTCCGCTCTAGGCTCTCGCCATATTTCTACAGCTACAACCGAAATAGAAGTTTAGCCGCGGCGCTGTGACGTCATGAAGCAGAAAGGGTTCTAAACGCACGCGGCCACTTTTGTAAAGCTGAAATACCCGCGTGCTGCAGGCGGCGATAAAAAGCACGTAAAATATGTCAAATTCATGTGTAATTGTCTCAAAACCAACACGACGCCACAACACAGGCCCCTGCTAACCAGCTAGCTTCCCCACATCACTTAGCATGGGACTTCAACACACATACTGTTCTGACACCTTAGTGCCTCAGACATCGGTAAACAGCGAGGTTTTTGGATCACATTCACATGAATGATATTCCTACCTGATCCAAATTATCATCGCTAGCACTATCCTCCGAGTCAGAGTCAATCACGACCCGACCTTTCCGTTTCTTTACATTCACCATGGTTAGCTGCCTGGCTCCCCTGCGTGTGTGTTTAAACAGCAGCGCCGCACTCCTCCACACAAAGGCGCTAGAGCTGCACTACGCATGCGCACACGTCACCCCCATAAACATCGACTACACATACAGGATCAGAAATGCGCTGTATCGAATAATTATGCATTATCTGTATACATACAGTTGGCGAAAATTATAATGATATTTGTTTGTCGCTAAATGTGATGTGCGCGGGAATCAACTGCGAGAGAGATTTGCTGTCGGTAGGACCATAAGCACATGTGCTTGTTTCAGGTAAGGACAGATATATGACGGACCGTAATGGCTTGTTTGAGTGTCAAGAGTGGTAAGACGTAGTTGCTTTTCAAGCCATATTTTATGCTTATTCATTCAATTATGTATTTTTAACTATGATAAATGTGGTTACTCTCGGTGTTTTAACATAGCTGTAACATGTAACTGTCGTGACAAAAACATGTAATCACGCAGTGGCTCTTGTATTTGTTGACTTGTGAATGTCATTTAAAGTCAAATGAGATTTATTCCTATTGTCCATCCAAGTCAACGTGTAAGTGTTGGCAACAAAAAGAGACGGCTGTATGATATTCAGGGATTTTTTTCCACGTGTTATGTGCCGCTATGGGTTTCAATCTTTTGATCGCAGGAGACCCCCATCCTAAAATTTTAAATGCAGCCATAAAGTTTCATGTATAAAGACCCAATTAATCCTAATTTAAATTGATATACCTTGAACCAATTAAAAATATTATTTGGAACAGATTTAGTGTTTATTAAGTTACAGTTCTACATACTTTACATAGTTCTACATAATTTACTTTAGTACTGTACTGTTTTTCATTTATTTAAATATAGTTTTTCTTAGTTTATTTCAATCTGTTTTTATTATTTACTTATTTTAATCTAAGTGTTGTTTACATAATTATTTTAATCTGTCTTGTACTATTTATCTAATTATTCTAGACTATATAGACATTTAGAAACTATATAGATGCCTTTTAAATTTTGGGAATGAGGATGCATGAGAACAATTATTTTTGGAGGTCTGTGGTACATAAAAGACTGAAAACCGCTGCCACAGAGCAACTGAAGTTGTCCATTATTTATTCTTGTTTTTTAGGATTATTAATCCAGAACTAAACGGAATATTTGTAGAAATACCATGGTTAAATTCTTATTCTACCTTGCAGTGTAATGGTTTGAAAAAAGGCTACTAATGATTAAATAAACATGGACCACCTGTCACTTCCTTGCAGCCCTCTGTTTGAAAACCCCTGCTTTAGATGACTGTCATCTTGATTTGGATTAGTGAAAACATTTGAATCCAGAAGATTAACTGACATGATATATGATGGCAAATATAAAAAAGGCATTTCACTAAATATGTTTTCTTTTCTTTTTCAGGATTCTACTGGATGCCTGATCTGATAACAAGAGCTACTACTAGCAAATGGCTGTGCCAAAAACATTAAAAACTCTGTTTGGAGTTTATGGTGTCATTCACCGACAGACTCCGTTATTGCCGTCTACCCTGAGATGCTCAGTTATACTGAGCACCAGGAGCGTCTATGAGCGTGATTACCGCAGACCAGGCCAGCCTCCAGACACCCGCTGGCCCTGGCAAAAGATACAGTTTGATTTCTCCAAAGGTCTGGAGGGTATCAAGAAGCACATTGGGCTGTTGAAGGATGAGTTTGTGCAGCGCTGGACTGGACCTGAAGGAAGGCCATTAATAGATCACATGCTGGAACAAACACGTGTCCAGTGGGAGTTCCGTGGACCGGAGAGTCTTAATCAGTGGGTGGTGTCATCCGATCAGGAGATTGGGGGTCGCAGTGAAGCATACATCAAACTGGGCAAGAACAACACCACGTGTTTGCTGTATGGGACCTTGTGCTCCACACCTCCCCGTGATGGAGAGACTCGATACAGTGGATACTGCACTCTGCTCTCAAAACAGCCGCTGGTCAGTGCCGAGATCGAACATCCCTCCATCTGATCCATTATTCAATTCCTTGTTCATCATCTTTTAGACCTCTTATGCATTTTTTTGTACTTTTCTTATTTCTGCATGGGTTAATGATTAATCTTTGTAAAGTACATGACATTGATAGCCACCAATTTATTTGTACAACTGGTGATTGTAAAAATATTATGCAAAAGTGTAGATGAAACTGTAATATAATGACTTATTCCATTTAAATTTTATTTAATTTGCTTATTAAACTCCCATCTGTTTACTTTTTTCTTTTTTAAAGAAATCTCTCATGCTCACCAAGACTTTGATTAAAAATTATTTTAAAAACATAAATATTATCACAATTTAAAATGAATGTTTCTGTTTTAATACATTTTAAGATGTAATTTATTCTTGTGATGGAAAAGCTGAATTTTCAGCAGCCATTACTCCAGTCCTCAGTGTCACATGATCGTTCAGAAATTAATAAGCTGATTTGCTACATATTAAGAAACATTTCTTATCATCAATGTTCAAAATTGTTGTGCTGCTTAACATATTTGTGAAAACCTTGATTTTTCAGGATTCTTTGATGAATGGAATGTTAAAAAGAACATTATTTATTTGAAATAGAAATCTTTGTAACACAATAAATGTCTTTGTGTCACTTTTGATTAATTTAATACATCCTTGTAATATATTATATAAATGTTATAAAACTCTTAAAGTTTTGAATGGTAGTCTATAGGTGTGTTTTCAATTTATAAAGAAAGTACATTGAGACACTATAATTCATGAGTTGCATGTTACATAAGAGTAAGATATTAGAAGGGAGCAGTATTGAGAAACACAGCTTAAGGGTTTGTTATTTGCATAAATTTGCATGCATTTAAAGTGAGCAGTAAAGGAGCAATAATATGTCATTTGACCTTTGAAACATTCCTTTCCTTTGCAGGCCTCATTTGACAGAAAAAAATACTATGACTGGTCAAGTTTCAACACGTTACATATGCGTATTCGGGGAGATGGAAGACCATGGATGGTAAACATGTCTGCTGAGACCTTCTTTTCTCACCAGAGAGATGACATCTACAGTTACTTCCTCTACACTAGAGGGGGACCCTACTGGCAGGATGTCAAGGCAGGTTTTAAAAAATTGACATGAATGTACATCTTGAACACACATCATCTGCAGTTCATATGAAAGTGCATCCAAATCAATCTGTTTTATACTACTATTTAAAAGTTTGGGGTCGGTAAGAGTTTTTTAAAAGTAATATATTTATTTAATTATTCAGCAGAGAAACATTGAGCCTTTTAAATTAAAAAAGAAAAATCCTGTTTCAAATAAATGCTGTTCTTATACATTTTATTATTAACCAGAACCATAAAAAAAAAAATCTTAACCCGAAACACTTGAATGGCAGTAACTTATGTTAATTGTAAAACACTTTTACAGATCCCGTTCTCCAAGTTTTTCCTTTCCAGCCGGGGAAGAATACAGGATGACCAGCATGTCCTCTGGTTAGATAAGGTCAGCATGGCTTTCTTGTCTCCTCAGTTTATCTAGTAATTGATATTAGCATTTAATATGTTATTTTTCCTCTGATTATATATTTATGAGCATTATGAAGCAGATTCATTATAACTTACTTTAAATCAAAACTTGTTTGTGCTCTTAGGTAAAGAGTATTGGTTTTACATTGGGGGATAAAGCAGACGGCCCATTTCAGCTGGAAATTGACTTCATTGGTCTGTGCAGTGACCTTGCTCACACAGAGGAGTTCGCATATGAGCTTTACAAGAGAAACCCGGAGGTGTAATTGGATTAAGCAAGATTCAGCAATCGTAGATGACAGACAGACACCGATTTATTAATAAAAACTTCAATGGACATTTTTCGGAGGCCGAAATCTTTAACACACATATATAAATGACCACATTTAAGACGAAGTACAAAATGATCATTTATGAATATCGCTCAAGTTCAAATAGTCATTGTGTGTGACCAATGTTTTGAGTGACTTTACTGTTTTTGTCTTTACAATTAATTAAAGCCCAGTACAAATAACCATTCATACTAAAAACACATTTGGGCAAACACTTTCTTTTTACATATATAATCAATTTAAGAAGTATAAAATCCTTATCTATAAATGGATTTAAAAAATGAATGCTTTTGTTGGATGACCTCACCTCATACTAAGCATATTAACCAAGCAAAAAAACAAGTGTTTACAGAACAGCAAAATATGTACAAAAGTCTGGAATAGAAAAGACGAAAGCTAAACATGTACAGTGAGTGTCTAAGATAGCAAAACAGTAAGAACACTGGAGCTAGGCCATGACCAGACCTCGTCTGGCATCCAACATATTTTCTTTCTTTTGTTTTCGGTCTTCTGTATGCTTGGCACGTCGCTCCTCTCTGAAAATTAAAAGGCAAAACATATTCAATGTGGAGAAGTTTCATTTCAGATAATGAGACACAGGAAATTCAAATGTATGCTAGAGTATAAAGGTTTGGGTTGTAAGATTTTTTTAATGTTCTCAAAGTCTCTTATGCTCACCAAAGTGGCATTTATTTGATCAAAATACAGTAGAATAAATAATATTGTGAAATAGTTACAATTTAAACCATTCTAATATGCTGATTTGCTGCTCAAGAAATTTCTTTTGTTTTGAAGTTTTGAAAACAGTTGTACTGCTTAATATTTTAGTGGAAACCTTGATAATTGTTTTTTAAAAGATTTGAATATAAAGTAAAAAAAATAAATAAAAAAATTGCATTTATTTGAAATAGAATTTTTGTAACAATGTAAAAGTCCTTACTCTCACTTTTGATCAGTTAAATGCATTCTTGCGGAATAAAAGGATTCCAAAAAATTTTTTTTTTTAAACTGACCCCAACTTTTTGAACAGTAGTGACCAATCAATGCACAACTAAAATAAGCATCTCACCTGGTTTGAACTTGGTGCTGTTTATAGTTTTTCTGGTGTGAAGGAACAGTCTGAGATTTATTAAGTGCTGTGTTCTCCTGTTGAGCTCCAAACGCCTTCAGTTTTCCTGCAGAGGCAAATGAAGACAATGAAAAGCAAGCCGATACAATTAAATTCAAGGAAGCACTGCCTGACATGTTAGTTCTGGGTATTTAATTCATATTTTTGTCTGAGTGTGGACATACCTTTGTGTGGTTTGTAGGCGAGTGGACGAGAGAGTTTCAGATAATGAGACACAGGAAATTCAAATGTATGCTAGAGTATAAAGGTTTGGGTTGTAAGATTTTTTTAATGTTCTCAAAGTCTCTTATGCTCACCAAAGTGGCATTTATTTGATCAAAATACAGTAGAATAAATAATATTGTGAAATAGTTACAATTTAAACCATTCTAATATGCTGATTTGCTGCTCAAGAAATTTCTTTTGTTTTGAAGTTTTGAAAACAGTTGTACTGCTTAATATTTTAGTGGAAACCTTGATAATTGTTTTTTAAAAGATTTGAATATAAAGTAAAAAAATAAATAAAAAAATTGCATTTATTTGAAATAGAATTTTTGTAACAATGTAAAAGTCCTTACTCTCACTTTTGATCAGTTAAATGCATTCTTGCGGAATAAAAGGATTCCAAAAATTTTTTTTTTTTAAACTGACCCCAACTTTTTGAACAGTAGTGACCAATCAATGCACAACTAAAATAAGCATCTCACCTGGTTTGAACTTGGTGCTGTTTATAGTTTTTCTGGTGTGAAGGAACAGTCTGAGATTTATTAAGTGCTGTGTTCTCCTGTTGAGCTCCAAACGCCTTCAGTTTTCCTGCAGAGGCAAATGAAGACAATGAAAAGCAAGCCGATACAATTAAATTCAAGGAAGCACTGCCTGACATGTTAGTTCTGGGTATTTAATTCATATTTTTGTCTGAGTGTGGACATACCTTTGTGTGGTTTGTAGGCGAGTGGACGAGAGAGACTGGCCTTCAGATCAAATGTGTTCTTCTTGGTGACACCAGGGGTGACTGACATACTGTTGTTCCCATTAAAAACAAATGGAGTAGCTCCAGTAAAAAAAAAAAAAAGAAGCAAAACATTTAAAACCAATGCTTCATAAAATCGTTTTGTTGTTGATGAATGATTAGGCATTACTCTTACCAGGTGTTTTGATGGCACCAACACTTTTAAGTTCAGGTTTGGTATGAACATCAGATTTCCTCCCTGGAGTGAAGGTAAGAGGGATGAGAGGAGACATACGAGCTGGAGTCTTTACCAGCGAACGCTTATATTCGTTATCGTGAGTGGTCTGCGAGAACCTAGAGAAGGAAACACAGCAGTCAACATTTAAGTACAGCTGTAGAAATTGGTTTTATTATAATAAACTTTGTTCCATTTAAACACTTTAGTTGTCAATTCTTGGCTTTAGCACCTCAATTTCAATACTAAAAGCATTATAAACTTAAGTGAATTAGCCATTGATGTATTTACCGGACATTGATTTTATTAGTGGTGAGGACAGTTGGCCTGAAAGTGGTGCTGTCCTTCAAAGCAGACTTGCTGGCAGACTGCTGAGTGAGCCTGCATTTTTCTGCCAATGTTTTTTTCTCCTGCTCTCCAGGACTGAAGAGAGACACTCTGCTAGCAGGCATCTTCTAATGGGAAACAACACCAAAGTTTGCTTATGATTTCAGGTCGAAGTTCTAGAAGGAACATACTTGTTTGACTCAGACACAATTCTACTTGAACAAGATGCAAGTTTATAAAAATGACACTATTTGACAAATGCACAATGAAGCATGATGACACCGATTGATACTACAGCTGATACTCAAGCTTTTTGGTTACTTACAGTTTGAGCCTTTGTTTCAACCGATTTCATCAGTGTCTTCTCTGACAGAGTCTGAAATTGCAAAAATAAATAAACCACTTCTAAATAAAACATTTGGAACTCAAACTACACTGTTCAAACCAGTGGTATTTATTTATTTTTTTAAATAATATTTTTGTCAGCTACATCAGTTATTGTTGCACATCTCCATTTCGTTGCAAACCTATTTTCTTCTGTGGAACTTGGTTCCATTGTTTGTTTGTTTTTTATTTTAGTTTAATATTGTTTCCATTTTTTATTTTCTCCGTACAGTGGATGTCAATGGAAACCAAAACTGTTTGGTTACCAACATTCTTCAAAATAACTTCTTTTATGTTCCATAGAATAAAATAAGTCGTACAGGTTTGGAACGACATGAGGGCGAGCAAATGACAGAATTTTTATTTTTGGGTGAACAATCCCTTTAACGACAACAACACTGGTTATTATTATTTGACAGGCCAGGGGTTCACTCTCATTGTTACCTTCAATTCCTTGACAGAATTCCTGAGCACCTCCATTTGTTTGTTCTTCCTTTGGACATAAGAATCAATGGACTCCATCTTTTTGAAGTGAGCCTCATGGAGTTTCTTGAAGTCTAGGGAAGAGTGATTTGCAAATACATTACCTCAAGGGCAGAGCTCAGAATATTTGTTTACATATGTTATGTAATGATCTCAAGTGAAAGAGTGAACTAAACAAGAGCAAGAAACTGTATTTTGAATAATACAGGAACTGGAAAAAATATTGTGTTTTTGTGTATAAAGTTGGAAGGATCTTATTACTAGGAGTTGTCGGCCTCAGTACAGGTTTTCTCTTCATCAGGCCCTCAAGACGAGGGATTTTACCCACTGTTCTTCTCCCCACACCTGCAATATATACATTTGAATAGTCAACACCACATACGCTGTGCAGGAACAAATCACAAGGTAACTAACTTATCCATCTCATCTATTAGATCTTAATTATTAACATCTACTCTCAATGAGCAACTTAATGTCAAGACGGTTTTCACCTTTAACACTTGGCTCTGCAGGAGCACCTTCAGAGTCTGGATTGGTTTCCCCAGATTCTAGACCTTTCTCCACAGGATCCTCTTTAGTAGATGTTTCAGGTGGAACTGGTGTCTCTGTGTCCTTGGGTGAGGACGCCTTCCTCCTCTTGGAGCCCCTTCGGCCCTCCTCTTGTGCCGGCTTTTCTTCATACTAAATTTTTTTAAAAATGAATTACAAAACCCAAGACGTGGATATAACGTGTATATGTAAAAGTAAAAGATGAAACCGTCCAGATTGAAAATAAAACTGCAGCCTACATACGCTCATAAATACCTGAGCAGTGACAGATGTGGAGCCACTGAGCTTTCTCTTAGCAGTGCGGCCTTTTCCCCGGCGCTCGGTCACAAACGTTGCAGTGTGCACATCCGCGGTGGCTGCATCATTATCCTGCAAACAATGCAATGTAATTCCGTGACAGCAACTCTTCCCATTTCAGAAAGATTATGGTGACGATGCACAAAAATAATACTCACATTTTCAGATGTCTGGTGTTGTTGTTGTGAAAAGTGTTCTTTTAAAGTTTTCAACAGCTTTTCAGCCTAGAAAAAAATAAGCATTGAGCATGTAATAAAGTAGATTAGAAAAGTCGCTTTGGATAAAATCGTCTGTTAAATGACTAACGTTAAATGTAAATATAGATAACGTTCAGTCACAAACTAAAGTAACTAAACGAAAGGTTTGTGATTTCGCGCAAAAACGCCAACATAACTCAAAATCTAAAGAAAAGTTACCACACTTTAATTAGTACAGCGTTCGTATTAAAACATATTTAACGAATCTACATTCACTCATGCAAACTGCAGGTCATTTGGTAACGTTACACATGGAATGGCTTTAGTTAAACAGCACTGTATCGCTTTGTATTCGCTTTAAACGCGATTTACCTTCATATTTGCTTTCAGTCCAACCTCTTTCGCGAGGCGCTGCAATTCCGCATATTTAAGCGAATCCAATTCCATACTGTGAATAAACTCAATGTAAAATCTGCAGATATATAACTAATACTCAAATTGACGACTCCGTAATAAACAGCTCGGTTTGTTTAGGTGGGATTGCCCAAGTGCCGTTTGAAAAATAACGTGTTTCAAAACCAGACTTTTCCGCTAGATGATTGGTTAAGAAGCCCATGACGACGCAGCACTACATCCAATAAGAAGTGGCGTTTATGACTCGTTGGTTTTGATTGGCTAAAAGGCTTTAGAAAAGGCGGGGCTTGATTAAGCGGTTTAGGGCGCCACCTAAAGTTCGAGCTCATAAATGAATAAACGTGGTTTGCGACGTCTGGTGTGAGCAAGAACAACAAGACTTGCTTATGTAGTCATGTCGAACAACACTCGAAGTTTTCTCGAAAGCTCTTGTGATATCGGTCCATGCGATTCGACACAGACTAGTTCAATTGCAGATCAGCTAAGAGCAGTCTGTATGGTAGACTATAGGAATTGCAGTGTTCTACGATGCATGTCATGCAACACAGTGCTTGGAGACTCTCTCGGCATCTGTGGGGAAGTCCAGAGCCTCAAGAGTATCATTTGTTTGAGTAAGTTGTTCTTGGAATAACGTTACTTTTAAAAGCATGCAGATTCTAAAATTCTAAAGATATGAATGCAGCCTTGAATACTTTTGTAAAAAGCACCAAAGGCCAAACATGTGGGTGACTGTGTTGTGATGATAACCACTGCATTTTTAATCTTTCCCTTTGAAGAAGTTACTGAGGATGTGAGGGTAAACAAAAAGCTGGAGATGAGTTTGAATGGTCCTCTGGCTTTCTCGTAAGTATAGCTGTCTGTTGATCTCAACCGTTTCATCTTATGTCCAGCATGTGTATGTGCTGGATGTCCCATCATCCTGTGGTTTCTCTGTCTGTAGCACCCACCAAGTCCTTCACTGTGCTGGTTGCCATGGTGCCGTTGGCCTGGTTCTTCACTCCACCCCAGAGCACCTGTCTGCTTTACAAAACCTCTTCCTTTTACGAAAAGAGCTGATAAACTGGTGGGTGTAATTTGTTATAATAATGTCCACACAAACAGAAGTGCATTTTTATTTATAAGGAATAGTTCACCCAAAATGAAAAACTGCTCAAAATCTAACCACCCTCAGGCTATCCAAGATGTAGATGAGTTTGTTTCTTCTTCAGGACACATTTGGAGAAATGTAGCATTACATTATGGGTGCCGTCACAAGGAGAGTCCAAACAGCAGATAAAAACATCATCATAATCTACACGACTCCATCAGTTAACGTCTGTGAAATGTAAAACTGCATGTTTGTGTGACTGGAATCATTTGGATGACTTGTGAATTATTGTGTTGCTTTTATCAGCTGTTTGGAATGACGTTATGCCGGCACCTATTCACTGTTAATTATCCATTGGTGAGCAAGTGATGTAATGCTAAATTATTCTAAATCTGTTCTGATGAAGAAACAAAATCATCTACTATCTGGATGGCCTGAGAGTGAATAAATGTAAAAAGATTTAATGTATATTTTAATTTTTGGCTGAACCATTCATTTAAAGGGGTCATATGATGTTGCTAATAAGAACATTATTTTGTGTCGTTTCAGGTGGAACTGGTGTCTCTGTGTCCTTGGGTGAGGACGCCTTCCTCCTCTTGGAGCCCCTTCGGCCCTCCTCTTGTGCCGGCTTTTCTTCATACTAAATATTTTTTTTAAATGAATTACAAAACCCAAGACGTGGATATAACGTGTATATCTAAAAGTAAAAGATGAAACCGTCCAGATTGAAAATAAAACTGCAGCCTACATACGCTCATGAATACCTGAGCAGTGACAGATGTGGAGCCACTGAGCTTTCTCTTAGCAGTGCGGCCTTTTCCCCGGCGCTCGGTCACAAACGTTGTAGTGTGCGCATCCGCGGTGGCTGCATCATTATCCTGCAAACAATGCAATGTAATTCCGTGACAGCAACTCTTCCCATTTCAGAAAGATTATGGTGACGATGCACAAAAATAATACTCACATTTTCAGATGTCTGGTGTTGTTGTTGTGAAAAGTGTTCTTTTAAAGTTTTCAACAGCTTTTCAGCCTCATATTATTTTCCACATACTGTACATTATTGTTTCTCGTCTATGCCCCACCTTTATGAACCACATCGATTTTTACAAAGCTCATTGGTCTGAAAAGCGAGGTGTGCTGTGATTGGCCAGCTACCCAGTGCATTATGATTGGCCGAATACCTCAAGCGCGTGACAAAATGTTATGCCCCTCACCATACTGTGATGATGCCCTGTCAGGCCAGGGTGATGATTCAAAAACATGAAAACCCATTATAAACAAGGCATTCGTTGCATCCAGTGGGGACATAATTATGGATTATAATAACTTAAACTGTCTTTTTACGCGTTGCATTGTGCCGCGTAAACATAAAACAATGTCTGCATTTGTGATCGGAGAAGTGACAAACAACAAGCCCTACTCTACACTGCTCAAAACTCGCGTTTGAATCATCAGTGGCAAATTCTTTAAATATAAAAACATACTTACAGTCTGTGAGTCAGAACAGCCGGCATTGTAGTCTACTCTTCCAGGATCAGGAAACAGTCCTCCATAAAATGTGCTACACACATCTGAATATTTGGGATGAAGTGTTCTGGAACCGTGTTGTAAATATAACTTAACCACTGATTTCTAGTTGTGTCTATTTTTGGAAGACCGAACAAAGTAGATTCGCTTTCACAACGAAACACAGCATCACACACGGCGGCCTAGAGTGAGCGGCGGCGGCCTAGAGTGAGCAGAGGCCGGGGGCTAAAGTGAGGAACGGCCGGAGGGCTAGAGTGAGCAGAGGTGGTGGACTTGAGAACGGCGTGGCCGGTGGATTCAACGGAACGTCCGGAGGGCTTGCGGCAACCACATGTGACGACCCCAGGCTGGACTCCGCTTCGTCCACGGTGAAAGCCGGTCTGGCGATCCACAGCGCAAAGTTGTAGTATTTCCTCAGCAACCAGCACGGATCAGCTCCAGGCATGACGAAGCAGATATCATCCTCTTTTGGAAGGCCAAACAAAGTAGTTTCGCTTTCACAACGAAACACAGCACCTTCACGACATGGCGGCGGCAACAACAATACTACAGCGAGAATAAAAGTTACGCCTTCTTTCTTTGCGTGAACATTTGGGCGGCGTTATGCAAATCTTCCCACATAGTGATGTAGATATGTGGGGGCGTGTTTGAACGAACTGTTTTAGGTAGGCGTGGTTGACTCTTTAACTTTTATAAAGAATCTCTTTGGATTTGAGACTTTAGTCTTTGCAACTTTACAGATCTTCTTTATACACCAAGAGCTTGTAACACTCCAAAGAGAAAGGAAACATTTAAGTCGCATCATATGACCCCTTTAAACTCTTTTAATGAATTCTTAAATCAGATTTTTTGCAGATAATTTATCTTTTTTTTTTATTTGACAAATGGTTTACATTTTAGCTACATGCTAAGAAGTGGTGCATGTGTTAAAGCCTCCAAAATCAACTTCAAACACCGACTCATGGACAAAAATATTCAAGAGGTGAGTATTTATGCCAATAAATAATTACCGTTAATTTTACAGAAGGGGATCAACATTATATTTTATTCAGTTATATTATAGGTTGCCTTTACAGCTACTCAACTCACTTGGGTTAAACATTGTGAATTTTTTTTTCTCCTCTTTCTAGCTGAAGCAGTATTTAGAAGCTCAGCTGAAGCAGGTGAAGATTCTGGAAGGAATGATGGAAAAATTGTGCACACACGATGTAAACTAAATAAATGCCAGGCATGGAATATGTAGTTTTATTATAACTGCTGAAATAAAGTGTATATATATTTTTTTGTATTATGTACTGAATACTAACTAGACTGTTTGTTTATTAAGTATTGGTTATTTCTTTATTTACATTATGTGCAGAGAAAGGAATAGTATAAAAGTATATATTGTGTTATTAAAGAAAAATGACTAATCTAATCTCTTACACTACAAGACGAAATATAACACTGAAGAAAGAAAACACAACACATGTTTATGATTGGCACCATGCTGCTTTTTTTATTGCTAAAATTTAATATTTTTTGTACAAAATCATGCGGGGTGCATCTGTAGTGCATAGATCAGACTAAGCATAGAGTTTCACATTCAGAGGCAAAATCAGCAATGCATATCAGGTCATCAAAGCATATAAACTCACAATTGTTAGTTTTGCTAAAACGCACTGTATCTTGCCTCTCGAATCACAGACTTGTTACATTTTCATACAATACTCAAATCCAAAAAAGTAACTTGTTTTAATGAATACATCTGTGAATAATTTACAGCAGCAATAAACCTTTGGGATTTCATGCATTTGAAAATAGTCACAACATTGGTCCACTCATAGATTTATCACATTTTTGCATAAATATGTTCAAGCAAAGCTTAATTATTGCATGCATCACAAAACATTTTTTTATCCACTTCTACCATGCATCAACAAATGTTTTTTGCACTCTTAAGAAAATACTAGTTAATTCCCAATGGATCTTTTTCATTTTGTAGTATATTGTTTATCCAGGATTCACTGAGACAATGAATCATCAGAGTGTCACAAACGGCTACAGAACACTGCTCATATTGCTGTTAATGAAAATAAGCTGTAAATATACATACAGCTTATGTGCATTCCACAATGGTTTGAATGTAAACATGCAAGGTCAATAGAAGGGCATAAGCCCTGCAGAGAGAGAGAGATATATATATATATAGATATATATATATATATATATATACACACACACACATTTAATACCTATCAACTTTCTTCCACCTGTCCAAAATAAAAAAGGTCTTTCATATTTGTCAGACCCTTGGAGCTACCTTCACATATTTATTTGGTGTCAACGAATAATGGGGCTGTTAACAGCAACTTCTGTACTACCAAATATGAGCAATGGGATGTTCTAGATAAAACGCTTACCACTGTCACAAATATGCTACAGATTTCTATTTCACAAACACCACTGAACTATTCCGACACTATAATTCATGCATAAACTGGTTATTGCTTCTAAACGTTGAACTTAATACACATCATGGCTTGCATATCTTTGAGTATATTTAAAAATATAGTTTGCATTCCAGTCATTGAGGTATTTATCTACATTACAATGCTTTGATAATTGCTTTATGCCACTTAATATACTACGTGTTACTTTAAAATCTAGAGTTTCTGCTACTAGGAATAATCTACCCACAGCTCTAGTCTGAGACAACATTACCTGATGGAGAATGCAATATTAGAGGTATGAATACAAACATAGTTCTAGGTTACCCTTTCTAATCAGGACGAGAATACTTTAGTCTTCTTTGCGTCCGATTATTACATAACGTTTCAGAATCAACTGTTTCCATAATAAGGAATCATCTTGAAACAGGTATGAAATGAAACTCTTCACTTCTTCTAAGCCACCAAGCCAAATTTTCTGCCCGTTAGGGACTTTCGTTTTGATCCGAGTCAACTATTTTGGGCCCAGAACTTATTTTTGCACAGTACAAACTAGGACAAACTCACACAGTGCTTATGAAACATATATATGTATTTCAGCATGGCTAGCTGCACGTCAATACCAACCGCCATTTTTCTAATCCTCAGCATGCTACAACACATTATTATTAATTAATAGTGATTACCTGTGAATAAACAACTGTGTTTGCCGATTAAAAAGTAAAACAAACAAACTCAGCATGAGTGAAAAAATGACTCGTCCAGTCACCTCTTAATCAAATCGATCAAGATGTAGATGCTGCATCCATGGTGGTTACTAACTAAATCATTATCTGCCTATTTTATTTTCTAAACGACTTTATTATAGCATATACGGAATTTCACTACGACTATTAAACTCAGCAAGCATCGCTACCGTACATGCATGGCCATGTTTATGCTGGCACTACAAATCCCGCCACCCTAAAGCAAGCGGATGAAACTATACATCATTTAATGGAAGACATTGGTGATTTTGTTGTTTTTGCGAACAACTTGTCACTTGTTTGTACAATATACATATTCATCTCAAAACAAGACAAAGGAAAGAAACAAATATTGCACATTTCCCACACTGAGGCCTCACTACTCTTTCTCCCATGAAAATTCATACTCGGTACATGACACTCTTATTTCTACCAATCCATATGATAGAAACTACTGTAAAAACGAAACAAAAACTGGGTACATTTTCTCAACACAGATGAAGTTAAATTCCTACTTTCGCAGTGCACTGTTGCTGAGGACCGAGCACAGGCTGTGACCAACGTGCCATAATCTATTTGAGATGAAACATTAAAACATACTAAACTATTAACAAATATTTTAAAACGTTGTGACCAGGGTCTAACATTTAACCATTCTACTGCCTTTCTTCAGGCCTAATGAGGATGATAACCATGAGAATGTTACTGGATGAAAATTACATGTTTATTTCACTCTGCGTATTTTCTTGGAAAACATGTAGGACAAATAGATACTGGCAGCCAAAACTTCTGAATAATTCAGATTTTTTTTTAATGGTCACCAAGGCTACATTTATTTGATTTAAAATACAGTAAAAACAGTAATATTGTAAAACATTATTAATTTGAAATAACTTTTCTATTTTTATATATTTCAAAATGTAATTTATTACTGTAATGGCAAAGCTACATTTTCAGCATATATTGCTCCAATCTTCAGTGTCACATGATCCTTCAGGACACAATCTAATATGCTGATTTGGTGCTCAAGAAACATTTTTTATTTTTTATCAACATTGAAAATGTTTGCTTCTTAATGTTTTTTTTTTATGGAAACTGTGACACACTTCCTTGTAAATGTTAATTTACAAGTTAGGATAAGTATGATTTAAAAAAAAAAAGAATACTTTTATTCAGCAAGAATGCATTAAATAATAATATATAAAAATAAATGCCGTTCAATTAACTTTCTATTGCGCAAAAAATCCTGTAAAAATATGCCATAGTCTCAAATCTTAAGCAGCAAAAACTGATTTCAACACTGACAACAATAATGAAGGATCATGACACCAAGTAATGTCTGCTAAAAAATTCATCTTTGCCATCACAGGAAAAAATTACTTAAAAAAATATTCAAATAAAAAAAACAGTTATTTTAAATTGTAACAATATTTCCCGGTATTACTGTATTTTCATCAAATCAATGCAGCCTTGGTGAGCAGAAGATACTTCTTTCAAAAATAGTTAAAAAAACTTAATTATTCCAAACTTTTGGCCGACAATGTGATATTCCCAAACCTATTAATAAAATAACATACATGAAGTGAAAAGAAACATGCTCACTCTTCCAACTGATTTCCAAACCATCTGACAGACAATGATTCGATTTACATCACTGTGAGAAAAGCATGTGAATATAGTTTGATTGGAGTGCTCGCTGTGTGGGTCTGAGCTGTGGTAACTTCTGAGGTAGTAAAATAATTATATTTCATTATGTCCTGCATCTCATTAGCACCCCACCCCCACTAGAAAGGTTTACCTGTGGAATTTATAAAGCTTATGCTCAGGTCAGTGTGCCACTCTCTGTCTTGGTTTGTCAGTACAAGTACATAGAAAACATGAAAGCATGGTTCATGGTTTTGCAAACGCACCAATATGAGTTCTGAATTAAGAGAACAGCTATCTGTCTACAGTTTGTCGTCTCAGAAATTAAATTTTCAGCCATTTTCAAGACTAAATAAATGACCAAAGAGTGCTTTACTGGTAGGTTTAAAGCTAAGCAATGGAAATAGACAATCGGTAGATGGAAGCTTTAAAAAAAAAAAAAGACATGTCTAGGCACTTAATCTGCAGATAATAAAACTGTTGGATGAAGCTACTTCATCTTGCTTGCATGATTTAGTTTTGACAAAGAGTGCTTTACTAGTAGGTTTAAAGCTAAGCAATGGAAATAGACAATCGGTAGATGGAAGCTTTAAAAAAAAAAAAAAGACATGTCTAGGCACTTAATCTGCAGATAATAAAACTGTTGGATGAAGCTACTTCATCTTGCTTGCATGATTTAGTTTTGAAATGTGCATTTGTTTTACCTGCAAAGCAAGTGCGCTTCCACTATTTCCATTTTCACTTTTAACACAACCTGCAATCATATAAATACTACACTGGACATTATTTATAACAAATATGACCAGAAGATGGCTCTGTACTGTGGCACAATTGTGTTACTTTTTTTGGACACATGAAGAGCTTATGGTTCTTTCATGGATAAAAACAACTTCAGTTGTCGTCTCCAAGTGCAGAGATGATATGTTCATAGACCAATGAACAAACATTTCCCTGAAACAATGCTGGAGGAAAGTCAACTTATCGGGATGGAGAGCAGTTTGAAGAACAAAGACATGACGGTCTCATCTGCACAGAATGGACATATGAAACAGGTCAGATAAGGCAAGGAGGTAGGGCTGAATTGACAACATTGATTTTAATCAATTTTGTTTTGATAAACCAATATCAGTTTTTAAATCCCAAGATCAATCTTTTAGTTTATGCTATTTTGTTGATGTGTTAACAAAACTAACAAAACATTATTTGTAGCACACCTGCCATCCAATAATCACAATAGGCCCTAACAGTATTAGCTTTCAAATCATGACAATTTTATCACAAAATTCAAACAATAAATACTATTTTGACAATCTATAATATTAGACATGGAAAGAAACAGTACAACTTGCATGTACTACAAGCAATTTAAATGTTTGTATAAATCAAACAACATTTTATTGAAGTGTTTTAACTTTTATATTGTATGAATCAAATTACATTTTTGTGTTGGGTGTTGGTTATTATAGCTAAAAATAAACAGCAATTGAACTTAAAAGTTTGGACTTGTTCATTTAACCTCTAATATTATTGAAATGTACCAAATGACAGGATTCCCTGTAGTTTACTACATTAGTACATAACATGTACTGTACCTGATATATACCCAAATTAATTGAAATCAGAATCGAATAAAGAGATGGTGGATCCGAATCAAATTGATTTGTTAAATCAGTGTCAATACCCAGCCCTACTACAAGGAAGTAAGTTATCTTGTGTTATTTTTGCTGCACAAACTGACCTACCTGGTCATGAGCTCCTTTCGTGACTGTTTCTTTCTCTTCTTGATATGACATATGAAGGGCACTGTTTTGATAAGACAAAGCAGGTTAATTAAGATCTGCATTCTCGTTTAACAATATAGTTATTAGTTTTAGAGGACTTATGAAAGGAAAGGACAAAGTGCTTGAAAGAACAATGAAAATGAACACACAACCAAATAATGCGCATCTCTTCTCCTGCACAATGCATGACCATCTACCGAGTGACGCAAGTGCTGGAATGCGAAACTGCAACACAAAGATTAGACAAAGACCAGCTCCTGTAGTGCATGTCAACACTCATCGTGCACTTACCGTCTCTGGCGATCTCGTGCTGGTTTCGAAGCGAGTGAACTGGAACTAAAAGTCACCTCCATCATACTCGTCGGTTGAGTAGGACGGGCCAGGCTCTGAGATGTTCGATGAGCCTGGCCCCGCTGCGCTGCTGCGGAGGAGGACTGCGCGCTACGCCATTTCGGTCCCGTGTGCTGTACTCTGCTGCTGCAGCAGCCTTCTTCCGGCGCGCATCGGTGTCTGCGCTCTGATTGGGCAGCCGAGCGATCCTTCAGGCGAACAAGACCCGCCCTCTGGGACAATAACAGACACCAGTCCACAGGTGAAGAGAGATTTTTATAGGCTGTATATGAATGAAAAATGTACAGCAGCATTATAAATAACAACCAAGAGAAAGGTAGAAAAAAAACCGCCACAGGGAATCAAAAACACAATAAGAAGATACGTGAAAGAACATGAATAATTCACATACTTAATAGTTTGTTCATGAATCATGATTATTTAGGAAAAACTTCCAAATATTGAAAGTCTCGATAGCTTTGAAATCTCTTATGCTCACCAAGGCTGAATTTATCTGATCAAAAATACAGTAAAAATAGTAATATTGTGAAATATGATTTCAATATAAAACATCTGTGATGGCAACAATGCTGAATTTTCATCAGGCTCCAGTCACGATCCTTCAGAAATCATTCCAATACGTTGATTTGGTGCTCAAGAAACGTTTCTTAATGTTGAAATCAGGTGAGCTGCTTGATATTTTTTTCAGAATATTTGGATAAATAGATTTTTTTTTTTTAAAGAACTGAATTTATTTGAAACAGTTTTTCTAAACGTTGTGGATGACTTTGTCACTTTTGATCAATTTAATGTGTTCTTGCTGAATAAAAGCATTAATTTCTATAATAATTAAAAAATATTACTGGCCCTAAACTTTTGAACAATAGTGTATGTGTATGGACTTTAGCTACAATTTTTATAAGAATATTTTAAATATATTTAAATACAGGAGATTGACACGTGTGGAGGGAGATTTGTTTATTTTGCATATAAAGGAGGACAGATTACTGATGATAAATAAATGACTGTATTAATAATATACAACGTGTTGAATGCAAATAGCAAAACTAAATACATATTTAAAAACCTGTTTGTTTTTATGGTTTATGGGGACTCTCCATAGGCGTAATGGATTTTATACTGTACAGACCGTATATTCTATTGCCCTACACCAGGGGTAGGCAAGTTCGGTCCTAGAGAGCCGCAGTCCTGCAGAGTTCAGCTCCAAGCCTAATCAGACACACCTGAACAAGCTAATCAATGTCTTCAGGATTACTAAGGCTATATATAGGCAGGTGAGTTTTTTTTCAGGGTTGGAGCTGAACTCTGCAGGACTGCGGCTCTCTAGGACCGAACTTGCCTACCCCTGCCCTACACCAACCCTACCCCTAAACATACCCCTTACAGGAAACTTTCTGCATTTTTAGATTTTCAAAAAAACTCATTCTGAATTATTTATAAGCCTTTTGAATTACGGGGACACTGAAAATGTCCTCATAAATCACCTTCTCGTTGTAATACCTATGTCATACCCATGTTATTATACAAATTTGTGTCCTCATAAACCACATAAACATGCACACACACACACACACACACACACACACACACACTGAACACGCAAGCACGCACGCTTGCCTCCTCCCCCTTGCGTTCTGCGCGTGCGTGCGTCTGCGGTACAACATAAACAGAATGAGCTCTCCTCGTTTACTGTCAGAAATTAAACAAAACTCTTTGCATCCCAAGTAATTAAGTCTGTATTTAAGTATTGAGTGCGTTTCAAACTAAATCTCACAGTCGCCTTATCCGGACTAAACTCCGCGGCTGAAAGTGGTAAGAGATTTTCTACGATTTCTTGAAATTAGATTATGTGCAAATGCAACAGTGCTAGGCCGCAGTCTTATAATCGAGCATGCATTTGTTTTTATGGGCGTTAAGATTCAACCGTACCCGATAAATTGTTGTTGCATTTTAAGGCAATTTGGTTTCAGAATGAAAAAAAGACATGTCTTTCAACCTACATGTTTAACAGCAACGCTTCCGCAAAAGTTGCCCATCAATAAAGGCTGGGCTGCAAAACACTAGAGTGACCTGGAGAGATTATTCCCTTTCTTAAGCAGGATACAAAATTCTTTAAAAACTAACCATAACACAAATGCATTTTTATGCTTGTTATAGTGAGACCAACTTTGTGGCACGTGCATTGGCAAGCCAGTTGTGCTGCATCATGCGGGTCTTCTTTATCAATGTCAATGAGACCAGTGGTGATGGAGCTCTATATGGTTGGCTGGGTTTGCATGGGGATAAATCTGCTGAGCAATGAGCCCTAAAATGACAAAACTTAATGTAGTCACACTCAATGCAAACCCGTGCGATTTCTTGAAATTAGATTATGTGCAAATGCAACAGTGCTAGGCCGCAGTCTTATAATCGAGCATGCATTTGTTTTTATGGGCGTTAAGATTCAACCGTACCCGATAAATTGTTGTTGCATTTTAAGGCAATTTGGTTTCAGAATGAAAAAAGACATGTCTTTCAACCTACATGTTTAACAGCAACGCTTCCGCAAAAGTTGCCCATCAATAAAGGCTGGGCTGCAAAACACTAGAGTGACCTGGAAAGATTATTCCCTTTCTTAAGCAGGATACAAAATTCTTTAAAAACTAACCATAACACAAATGCATTTTTATGCTTGTTATAGTGAGACCAACTTTGTGGCACGTGCATTGGCAAGCCAGTTGTGCTGCATCATGCGGGTCTTCTTTATCAATGTCAATTAGACCAGTGGTGATGGAGCTCTATATGGTTGGCTGGGTTTGCATGGGGATAAATCTGCTGAGCAATGAGCCCTAAAATGAGAACGTCCTGTTTGAGCTCTACCTGTTTGCGTGCCATCTTATAGCTCTGTTCGTGCATTATGTCAACATCTACAAAACAGTCTGGTGGTACCCCCCCTCACACCCACCTTCACACACCTCTCTAGTGAGTCACATGTCATAAGTCTTAAATTAAACTCCACAGAAGCATCCAATGTTCATTTTTCCACAAAATGATTTTTTTTGTCTCTGCAGAACTTCCACCTCATTGATTATAATATGTTGGTGTTCACCATCATAGTGCTGGCTCGCAGGCTAATTGCTGCCATTGTAAAAGAGGTAATGTGCATTATCTCCTAGCTCTTCATTCCATTTTAATAGCTTTAAAAATGAATAAGTTGTGCATTCTTTTCCTCCTCTTTGCTCCAAAGGCATCACAAAGTGGGAAGTTGTCCTTCCCGCACTCTGTCTTCCTGGTGACGGCACGTTTTGCCGTTCTGACTCTTGTAGGATGGAGTCTGTGTCGTTCACTTATTTATCTCTTCAAGATGTATTCGGTACTCAGCCTGCTCTTCCTCTGCTATCCGTGAGTAATAATCTACACATCCGCTGCTGTTGATTCAGGTTTTCAGGTGTTGTCATATTTAGCATTGTTTTGTGAGGTTTCGTGGGTGAAATCCAGTCATTTCAACAGGAATCCACGTGATCTTGAATTTCTTGTGAAGGTGAAAGATTTCCCTCACAGATTTTGCTTCAGGTTGAAGTTGGTCGCACAAATTTGCCATGTTGGCCAACAGAAAGGTGGTTGGTCTGAATGTGACTTCTGTGTGAGATATGAATAATGGACCTTTTTGCCCATGACATTTTGCTAATGTGACTGCACCTTTACTGCTTTCATAATGCATGTATGATGGGTCATGATGGTTGACTTGCTACTGATAATATGATATTATTTGGAGTTTATGGTCTATATCAGGGCTGTCCAAACTCGGTCCTGGAGGGCCGGTGTCCTGCAGAGTTTAGCTCCAACTTGCCTCAACACACCTGACTGGAAGTTTCTATGCCTAGTAAGAGCTTGATTAGCTGGTTCAGGTGTGTTTGATTAGGGTTGGAGCTAAACTCTGCAGGACACCGGCCCTCTATGACCGAGTTTGAACAGTCCTGGTCTATATGATGGACGGACGGACGGACGGACAGACGGACGGACGGATAGATAGAGTAGTACTTTGATGTTCACTTTGATGTTTTGGCTGGTTTATAGATTTAAATGTGCATAAATGTGCAATTATTTTAAAGTAGATTTGAGTCACCCATTCAGAATTTTAAAGTCATGGCTATCTGTTTTATAATATTTGTAATGAATTCAATTGTATTATATTGTAATATTTCATCTATCTTTCCTCCTCAGGTTTGGAATGTACATCCCTTTCTTCCGACTCAGCTGTGACTTCCGGAGGGCTGGATCCATGTCCCCATTGGGCAGCATGAGTTCTAAAGAGGTGAGCAGTGCTGCTTTGGGCCGTGGGGGACGGGACTATCTGTCCGTCCTGAAGGAAACATGGAAGCAGCACACCAGTCAGCTGTACAGTGTTCAGCCCATGCCCACCCACGCCTGCTGTCTGTCTCCTGACCTCATCCGCAAAGAAGTGGAGTACCTGAAGATGGACTTCAACTGGAGGATGAAGGAGGTGTTGGTTAGCTCCATGCTCAGTGCCTACTACGTGGCGTTCGTACCTGTTTGGTTCGTCAAGGTGAGTGCATCGACAAGTGGTCTTTTGGGCATAAACGCACATACAGTGTGTGGACTGGGAGAACGGGTTTGGTTGATGAGGAACAGGTGATTCATGTGTAATGAGTCGATAAATTCAGATCAGACTGGCTGTAGGCAAAAATCATTCTTGGTGTTTAAACTAGCATATACAAATTTTTTCCCCAGATATTATTTTTATGGCTTTCTATCTGCCCTCAATGCAAAACTTTGGTTTTGGCGTCATGGGTTTTGTTGAAATTCCTCTGGATGGAGTTTGTGTGATAGTTTGTTTTATTGTATTGCTTATGTATATTATAGATTTGTGTGCTAGTGTGTTATACGTGGCACAGCACATTTTGTCTGAGACATAAATATTTTAAATAAATTGCTTTACATTCATGCATTCTTTCTTAATTTTTCTGTTTGTGTATAGAGCACACAATATGTAGATAAACGCTGGTCCTGTGAGCTGTTCATCCTGGTTTCTCTCAGTACTTCTGTCATTCTGATGCGGCACCTGTTACCCCCCCGCTACTGCGACCTGCTCCACAAAGCTGCCGCTCACCTGGGCTGCTGGCAGAAGGTCGATCCTTCCCTCTGCTCAAACGTCCTCCAACACATGTACGTCTGACCTGGGGTTATAGAAATGGCATAAGTTTAGGTTGTGTTAGGTTTTTGTGTGCGTCTTTGCTGGGTTTTGAATAATATTCTTTTTAGTTCTAAAATGTAAGTATAGCAGGTGCTGAATATTTCCAAATGCATTTATAAAAGAGCCTAATTTAAATTCTTGTTCACAGTCTGATGTGCACTTAGCCTTAAAAGAATACCTGCATTGTGTTGCATGTTTCAACATGTTCATTTGATCTTGGGTGTTGCCGTCAACAACAGATTTATTCATAGCATGTTAAATGAATTTGAAGCCAAGCCAGCATGATTTTTTTTCAAAAATCACAACTAGAATATATTTCTGTTACATACTGATTTTAACCTGTTTTTCCTAAATAATATTACCTCATTCAATTAATTAATTAATTTATTGTTTATTTATTTTTTATTTTGCATGTAATATTCTTCTTAAATTGTGTCAAAATGCATTGTTTTTAAGCAAATGTAATGTTTTTTATTTTTTGTAAGGTGTACTAGCTATCTTTGTCTGTTTCCTGCAGATGGACAGAAGAGTACATGTGGCCACAAGGAGTTTTGGTCAAGCACAGTAAAAATGTTTATAAGGCCATGGGCCATTATAACGTAGCAGTTCCCTCAGATGTCTCGCATTATCGTTTCTATGTAAGTATAAGCTGTAGATGAACTCTAGAACAACTTTGAATGGAAATGTTTTAGAAACATTATTTCAAAGAGTTAATAATATATTAATGGGAATGGTATTGCAATAACCACTGTTCCCCTCTTTTTTCCCTTTCTTTTAACAGTTTTTCTTCAACAATCCTCTTCGAATATTGAACATTCTTATAATCCTGGAAGGTGCAATGATATTCTACCAGCTATATTCACTCATGTGTTCAGAGAAATGGCATCAGATGATATCATTAGCTCTAATATTATTCAGTAATTATTATGCCTTTTACAAACTGCTCAGAGACCGAATAGTTCTGGGAAAAGCGTATTCGTATTCAGCCAGTGCCTCCAATCAGAAAGTCAGTTAGACAAGGATAAATTATTGTCGGTCATCACAGATGAGCAGAAAACATGCATGAGAGCTGTTTATTTTTTCTACAAGTGCATTTCTGACTTGCCATAAAATAAAAAGGAATCATATTTTTGTACTATGGCTGGTTCTCTGAAGTTTTCTTTTAAAGGACATGCATGTCCTAGTCAAACACAATGGTGTTTCTTTATTTTGAGTCGAATACTATTTAAAAACAAGTAAGCACTAGTTTTATCATTATCATTATTTCTTAGGTTTATCATTAGTCTGTTACTGCAGTGTTTCCCAACCTTTTTTTAGTCACGGCACCCTTTGGAAATTTTAGCAAACTTGTGGCACCCTACAAAATAAATTGTCACAATATTTGAATTTCTAACTTCGATATGATACTTTGAAAAGTATCGATATTCGGTACAGCAGGGAAGAACTGCAGAATGTGTCATATATATATATATAAAATGTATATGTGTGTCAGATATTTTTAATATTATGAATTGTTTTGTCCATGGAGGCAATCAGTAGGCTAATTTCTAATGAGGAGACCAATTTATATGACAGATTTTAATGAAGGTTTTTTTTTATTTTACGTGAGCATAACGGTTAGCAGATCAATGAATGAGAGGGCAGAGTTACCAGAGTTGCCAAGAGTGATGCGAGAAGACTGCCACTATATGATGGCGGATCCAAAGCGCAACGTTTGTTAATAAAACTTTCATTTATTCGTTTAATAGCCTATAAGTGAGTGTCTTTGTTGCTGGGTTTTCATTAAAAAAATAACAATGAACCACAAACTAAGCATTCGTTTTAAATAAGGGGAAATACCTTATTTATTTGGGTTACAACGGCTATATCCATCTTATTCATTTTGTCAATGCAAGGTAAATGTTTAATATATGCGAATTTGCCATTGTACTATTTTATGGCTGATGCGTTTTAATTAATAAGATATTTAGGGTAGGCTATAGACTAATGCTTGGAAATGTTGTTTAAAGTTTTCAAGTCCATTCATTATTTGTAGCACGCAAGCCACTCAATAATCGCAGCTTTGGGCTTTGTTACTTCAAAGTCTCAGACTTCTGTCAATTTTATGATAAAATACAAACGTATTTTTACGCTCTTTAATTTGTAGTGAGATAATTCGCCTCAGTTCAAGCTGTATATGAATCAATTATATTTTCTTCTTTAATATTTGCAGCACGAAATAAACATGAATATGTGAATGCATGTTGAAAAAAATCAGAACAACTTGATACAAACGAATGTCTCATGAATCGATCAATCAGAGTTTTAAAAAAAGTCAAAAGAATGAAGGATGCCACAGACTAGGCCTATGGGTGGAATTTTCACATTATATAACATGATTTTATTATCTTAATTTTAACTGTATTCTTAAAATATTATGACATTAATTTTATTTATTTAGTTATTTTTTAAACATGGCACAAAAATGCTGCCGTATAGGCTACTGAATGCAAACACAATTTTAGCACATCAGCCCAAAAAACAAACAAACAAACAAACAAACAAAAAAAATTATAATAAAATAAAAAAACAAAAAAAAAAAAGTCAAAAATAGTGAGGGGATATTTGAATTATTTGTTAATAAACGAATGTTTTCTGAGTCAATGTTGACTATCCATCCTCATTGGACGTGCCTTTAGAGAGAAATGCATCTTTACGGATTACATAATTAAATTTTCGATTTGAATTATTTCGTTTTAAAATAGTAATTTAAAGCATTCTATAGATATATTTATCATGTCGGTGAAGCGTTCCTGCACAAGACCAAGACGACAGAAAGCTCATCCTGTTTGTTTTCCTTATTTTACAAAAGCACAAGGTTTTGTTGATATTGTGAGTGCACACAAATACAATTAGACCCTTTGCAGTTCCGAATGATGTATACTATTACCTTTATGAGCAAAAATGAGGCGTATTTTTAAATTTTCGCTGTTATTAAAAACAAATGCAAGTGATCGCGCTGGCGCCTCCATGTCCTGCAGAGCACGCTTTAGCTTCCACTCTCCGCACAAACGATTGGACATGCACCTAACAGCGCTCATTTATCTTGGTTAAATGTTTAAATGAATACTGTGAAATGCATGAAGTGTTTTATGTCTGTTTATTTTAGGCAAGTCGTGTTGGTTTGAGAAGGCTAAATTGATCAAACATAATGCTCAACTCACTGTCTGCCGCCGCCGCTTGGTTGTTCCTTTAAAAAACAAAAACTTGAATTTAACAAACATAAAATGTTCCAAACATATTTCTAAATTAACTTAATAAAGAAACAAAAAGAAACATGACCACTTTGCCATTAAAAACCAAAACGGAAGTATTTTAATAGCTGTGTAATGGGGAAGAGAGAGAGAGAAAAAAAGTCACGGGATCCATACTAGTATTCACAAAGCCATTTCGTTTTTGTGGTATATAATGGTTTATTAAAAGCCGCTATATAAATTACTAGCTGTGTGGATGAGGCTTTAATAATTAGTGTGGGGTTCTTCAAACTGGCTCTCAGCTCGCGTCTTCTTGTGATTACGCTCTCTAGTATGGTGAAGGTTCTGCTCGTTCATGTTGATGTTTTGGCGTCACTCAGAAGCATACCAATTGGTGAGGCTTGGCTCTTGAATATTAATTAGATAGTCGGGACGCTTCCTTAATGCCGTCCAATAGCAAAAGCGTGTCTCATTAATATTAATAATGAAGCTTCACCATAGTACTAGTCGCAGAATCGCGGTCGGGAAGTAGGAGAGCTCACGCTGCAGACGGCAAGCACTTAGTATATTAAAACGGACCGCGTATAAATCCTGAGTTAATGAAATGGAAAAACCAACACGGGCACCTTAAATTTTCGTTGGAAAGCTCAAAGAGCTTCATCCTTGTCCTCGAGCCGGTGAGTAAATCGTTTTGTTCAGCGACATGACGATGTGCGCATCGTGCCTCACGGGGCATCCTGTGCAAATCCCTTCCAGTCAATGTAAAACCCTCTTCGCCAAATGAAAAATGCATTAGATCTTGCTGTTGTGTTGATAAACACATCAAGTCAGACGCTAAGAGTCTACAACTGCAAAGAAAAAACAAATAGTCTTGCATGATATACAGGACGACGCTAAAAATCTTCGTATTTATTTTGTAAAGTAGTGCATTAATTAAAATGGAAATTTTGGGGGTGATTATTTATCTAAAAGCACCATGATTGACCCAGATTGTTTAGTGCTTACTGGCAATGAACGATCTTTTACAGGAAAGGCTATTATATACAATCTATAAAATACAAATATATACGATGCACATATTCATTTATAATATGCAGGGTTAATATATATATATATATATATTTTTTTTTAAATTTATTTAAAAAATTTTTTTTTTTTTATATATATATATTTTTATCAAATCCAATTTATGTTACGTTTTCCATTGATATAGGGTTATTGGTGGGCAGGAACATTTGCTCGTAAATTAATTTATAGTTTTTCCCCCTACTTATAAGGACTTAAACAATAGACATACAGTTAAATGCTTTTATTCCAAAAATTGCTTTTCTTTAAAATGTTCTATTTTCAAAAATGTCAGTTGTGTATTTAGCTAGTTAACTGACCCAATTAGTTGCGGTTTCTGAGAAACAATATTTAATATTGGTATACTTGCAGTAACCAAATATATATATTATATTATTTATTTATTTTTTAGTTGCTGCGATTTTTAAAAAATTATAAAATAAACATTAAAAATACCCTGATGGTAGACATATATTATTTTATCCCTGGCGGATGGACAGCAGGCACCCGAGAGTCCCAGAGAGATCTGAAGCATCTAAAAATATTTCAGCACCGGAGCGCAGCTTGATAACACTGTATTTCTTTACACAGTGTGAGAAACAGAGCAGCAGAATAAGCAAACCGGAAAATAACAGAGAGGCTTGGCTTACTTTACCCATAAAGTTTGGTGGAGTTTGAATCAAGCTCCTTCTTAAATAGGATGATAAGAAGGCATGTCTTGGTAACCAGTTAAATTTATTAAGCATGTTATCTGATATCGTTAACATGGCTTCATGCAGTCACTCAAAAAATTTAATTTTCCATTACATCTGTTAGCAGCTCAAGGTCAGATATTAATAATTGCTGCCTGTCTTGTGATTGTTTAAAACTGTCTCTCACTGACCTGCTAATGATTGAAATCTGCTTCAGCTACAAAGCTGAAATTGACTTTAGTGCAGTGATACCAACGGGACTGAAGCATGGGACAAACCTTCACATTTAGGACCCCACATTATTTAAAGGTGCAGTAGGAGATCTTGGAAAATGCTAACTTTAGCCTGATAGCACTGAAAGTGAACGTCCCACCCTCCCTGCAATCGCCGTCTAAAGCCACGCCCCCTGAACACATTTACGCTCACAGACCAGAATACCAGAGACAACATTACTACAATAGGCTACATCAGCGGTTCCCAATTCCAGCCCATGTTCCGAAGTGAAGTAAACTTCAACAGATTTCCTCCGCTCAGCGCTCAGGGAGTAGGGAGCAATGAACACTGTGTAGGGATCATATCGATCGGAACACAGTTCATGCACGTAGCTCACTTCTAACGAGCTGATTATCTGAATCGGGTTTGTTAACTAAGCAAGACATGCAAAATATGCAGAGCGGGCACAAGGACTGATTGGGAAGCACTGGGCTACATCATGTTTCATTCACACTGGTGAAAAAACTTTAAAAGTACTACAATACCAGGAAGGAAGATCGGGGTTTGTTAACTAAGCAAGACATGCAAAATATGCAGAGCGGGCACAAGGACTGATTGGGAAGCACTGGGCTACATCATGTTTCATTCACACTGGTGAAAAAACTTTAAAAGTACTACAATACCAGGAAGGAAGATCGGGTTGTTGATGTTTGTCTGCCATTCTCAGTCTGTCTGCACTCTGCACAGTGTGTGTGAACGTGCTGATGACGTATCTTGTCTGCGCGAACCGGGTGCACAGAGGTATGCTAATACAAACGTTGACAGGCAGGTAGGAAAGCCAATTAAAACGCTCGGACCGAGCGTTTTGATTGGGCGAACATTTCTTGGTCCTAGGCCTTCCACAGAATATATAAATACAGATAAATACATTTAGACCACTCAACTTAATGATTGCTATGTGATGTGAAGAGACTTTCAACCAGCATAACAAAAAATGTTTCTGAAGACAATCACCTATTGCAACTTTAATCTGTCTCTGTAGGGGTTATGCTCCTGGTTGACTTCCCACCATAGCCAAAGAGCTCATTTTGTTTTTTCATACATCTCAGTAGCTGAGAGCTCTTGTCTGTGTGTCTTAGAAAGTGCCACTGCCCTCATGGAAGACAAGAGGAAGAAAAGGAGTCCCAAAGTGTCCCTTCCCCAGCCCCCTCCTCCACCAATCAACCCTCGAAAGCTCACCGTTCTCCCAGCGAGTAAAAGTGCCACATTCTCATTGGGTTTACCCCAGCCCCCCTCCCCAAAACCCAGGGGCAAATACAAGAGATCGGTGGGGGCAATGGGTCCGTCTAAAGAAGCTCTCACTGTTCCTGTGGTTCCCCCCAAAAACACAAGGTTTGTGTGTGTGTGTGTGTGTTCTTCAAATGACATATCATAGATGCTAATTTGTTTTTGAGTTAGTAATTGATATTTCCAAATTGTGCCACATAAAACTGTCTAACAGTGATTCTGTTTCCATTTGTAGGCCTCACGGAGAGAAACCCAGAGCTCCTCAGCCTGCCGGACCCAGCCGCGTATCCCAGTCCTCCTCACCACTCCAGCACTCATTCCTCACCGGCGTCTCTGATGTGAGGGAGATGGAGGGAGGACTGCTCAACCTGCTCAACGACTTTCACTCTGGAAAACTACAGGCTTTCGGTATATACTAGGGTTTTATTCAGAAGCCTTAGTAGTTTGAGCTGTCATTAGAATTGTTTTGCAGTCTTAACGTTGAGGTTATCAGGTCCATTTTTAAGGAATGCAAAGGTGTGTAAGGGTGGCACCTTGACTACACCTAATTCATCAGTGAGTTAATTTAGATTTCAGAAGTCTAGGAAGGTACTTTCACAGTTTCCACTGTGTGTTTGCAGGTAAGGTGTGCTCCTTTGAGCAACTAGAGCATGTGAGAGAGATGCAGGAACGTCTGGCCCGGCTGCATTTCAGTCTGGATAGTCATGTGGAGGAGCTGTCTGAAGACCAGAGAAAAAACGCTTCGGACCGTAATCTAGAACACTTGCTTTCTAATGTAAGATATTATTTAATCTTCTTTAATAATGCATCTCTTGTTGGGTTGCACAATTAATCTAAATAAAACTGAATTGTGATATGGTTTAGTTTATCATCAAATCGCAAAGGCTGCAATATAATTTTTTTTTGTCAATTTGATATAGAATCACTGCATTTTTGACCAAACTGTGCAGCCCTATAAACAACCAAACCTGGAAGTTGAAAAAAAAAATCCTATTTTAATCGCAATTTTAATTACATTTTTATCCCAAATCGTGCAGCCCTAAACTTGTGAGTATTCATACTGAACCTTAAACCACAGACATTCATTTTCCCACAAGTTTATATTTGATCATTACAGTAGACACACACATTAGTAGAGTCTGGATCTAATGGATATGAAACACCAGTCTACTTGTTCTCTCTCCACTATTCAAGCACTCTGACTCTCTCACACACAGATACTAAAGGACTGGATACAATAATACCCTGTATCTGAATACAGGCCTGTGGCTGAATCTTGTATTATCATCCAAATCCAAGTGTCGCTGTCTGACTGTATTCTTTCATCAGTCTGTGAAGGGCTAGACAGTTGCTATTGATAGTATTTCCCTTCTTGCTGTCAGCTCGGTGGTCTGTGGTAGAAAGCCAAGCGGATTATAGTGTGTGTGTGTGTGAATTTCATTATGGGTGGTTCACTTAGTATAACAGAGTGTATATTTGAATCTTAAGCAAGGTAATGTTATGTTAGGACTATTAAGACTTTTGCATTGTGACAGTATTTTTAGGACAACAAAGCATACCCCCTCACCATACTCCATAATGCATCTCAGTGTCTTATTTTTAAATTTTTCCATTATTCATGTTATTGATTATTGATTCTCATTAGATTCTCATTACTGTACTACAATATTTTTTAATCAGATTTAATTAAAGGCAGCACTGCAGATACTACCATGATCTTTTTTTTTTTTTTTTTCAAAATTCAAAATGTAAATAATACATATTTATTTATAACAATATTAATGTTATATTAATACAATATTTATTTAGATATTATTGTACTACGGTTATTAAAATTGGGATTCAAAAATGATCTTAATAAATATTAAATTAATTCCTTTTTTGGGGTAAAATCATGTGACTTGGACATGTTCATGAAATGCACCCATTTATTATAAAATTAGAGTCCAGGAATTCACAGAAGCTAGGTGATAGACAACTAGTGTTAATAACACATATAAAACAAAAATAAACAATTTCGGATATATTAAATTAGTATACTGTTAGAGGATGGTGTAAGGAAAAGCATTTCTGCAGTGCAGTTTGTAATTTTTGAAAATGGACAACCTGGACAACACAAGTCATCTCAGTTTTTGTTAACATACAGGCTGAATTCCAGACGAACCCAGATTGATAGATTGGTCTTTTTAAAGCATCAGCGATTAAATAGATTTTTTTTAATGCATCTCTTGTTTTTTCTCCTCTTAGCTGGAAGAATTGAGCAGCTCAATGTATCCTTCCATATTATGGATTGCATGTGTTAAAATATGCCATTTTACTTTACCTTTGACATTAACCTCGAAAGTGTTTGGAGTCATTAAGATGTTAACAAAAAAATTATGATTAAGTCCCATTTTATGCTAATAAAATACAATGTTTATTGACTTTAACAAATCTTTCAGCTTAATCAACATGTTTTGTGAAAATGTTACATGGTGTTTTCCCAGGATTTCTGTTTATCCAGAAAGGGTTTGTGTTACACTGAAAGCTCTCACTGCTCTCAGCTAAGCATTTAGTTTTAGTTTCAGTACAACCAGGGATTGTGTTTCTCAAAACATCTTAGCTGAGATTATTCTAAGATCAGTTGTGTCCTAATGGAAGCCTAATTGATAAATCCAGTATATGTGCAGGAAGAAAGTTGAAGTCAGCATTTTTATGTGTAATAGGAGCTCCAGAGCTTGTACATTAGATGTACATTAGCAGTGCATATCTCCTTAATGCGGTTTATCCAGACAGAAACTCCACCTGGCAGAAAATCAAGACTTACCCAAGACCTCCAGCACCTGAAGCGGGAAACCAAACCCAGCTGACCATCAAATCACTGTGCCGACCAAAGCCCAAGATGCCATGGCTACAACTCAACTGCAAGTTAATGAAGCACCATCATCGTGATCTGTGTCTAATGCACATTCTCCATGTGAACGAAATTCAACTGCAAAAATGGCACTTCTTGTTTTTCAAATGTTTTGATCTTAGCATTTAAAGTGGTGGTTCACTGTTTTTTTTCTAGGCTTGATTGTGTTTATGGGGAGCAGTCTAACATGTGCTAATGCTTTGTTTAAAAAAAAAAAACATTATTTTTCACATAATTTACCTTTATTCCACACCGCTCTGTCCCTTCTCTGAGAAATACGCTGATCATTTCCTGCTTTTATGAAGCCCCTCCCTCAGAAATAGGCGATGGGCTCTGATTGGTTAGCTAGTCCAGTGTGTTGTGATTGGCTAAACCGCCTCTAGTGCGCGTCTAATCGTCCCGCCCCTCACCTCAGCAGCATGTGCTCCGGTTGTATTGTAAACAGCGGCGTCGTTAATATCGCTTATCAGTTTGAGCCCGATTGAGAAGCAGAGGATATTATTGAAGAGGATTGTGCAGAACATGTGCAAGCATGACTTTTAATGGTAGGCCAATATTTTTTGTTTGTTGTTGTCTCATATTTTTAGATACGTGGTTATTTGTAAATGCTACTGCTTATGTTAGCTTTTAATATACTGTTTTATCCTGATTAAAGCTTTAATACAGTACGGCAATTGCACGTGTGTCCATGTTTAACGCTTCTCATAGCTATGTGAAAATAAGTGTATAACTGTAACAGTTCATGTTTGGAGCTGAGCTGAATGAGAGAGAGAGAGAGAGAGAGAGAGAGAGAGCGAGAGATGCAGAGCGTGTGCAGAGCAGGGGATGGGAGGAACAGTATTAAGAACCGCTGCTTTAGAACATTGATTTTGAAACTTGTGAATCCATTAAAATCGTTAGAAGACAGAATCGCGATTCATATATGAACAGATTTTTACGTGCACCTCTAGTTTTCTCTTCTCTAAAGCCACGCAGCATGGCCTCGCCCCCTTTGTTGCCTTTTCCTGAGGGCAGGGTTTATCTGGGTTTGTTACGTCACGAACCCGGGAAGTAACTCGTTGTAGTCCCTACCAGCCGTTTTTGTAAGCATTAAACTGCCAGAATTTTGCATTGATCTTTCAGCTTCTTAACTTCGCAGATATTGTTTATGCTCAAACAGCAACATTACACACTAACTAACGTTAAAAAAGTGAAATCGCAATGAACCACCCCTTTAAATTTCAATATTTCCAATTTTGAGTCTGAAAGCTAAATTGTATCCTCTTTGTTACATTGTTTAAATCAGGGGTGCTCAAACTCGGTCCTGGAGGGCCAGGACTCTGTCCTGCAGAGTTTAGCTCTAACTTGCCTTAACACACCTGCCTTTAAGTTTCTAGTAGGCCTAGTAAGAGCTTGATTAGCTGGTTCAGGTGATTTTAATTATGGTTGGAGTTAAACTCTTCAGGACACCGGCCCTGGTTTAAGTGGTTTATCTGGATAAATAATAATTGTTCTTACTTTTGAGATTGCATGAGTTGATTTCAAAGATTCATTCATCACTGGTAAAGGCTGACTCGTTTTTTTCATAAATTGAGATCTAGAGTTTTAGATCAACAATGTCAGAAGTGAATGAGAAGATGAACATTTACATTATCAGTCAATCATCGTAACACAATTGATTTTAGTTCATCAGTGTTCTCTGGAAAGATGTTGTAAATGGCTGTGGAGTAGCTATAAACTCACTCAGGACTGTTTGAAATCAGTGATCTTAGTGCCTCTTCTCAGTGTCTAGATTACATTGATTGTTTCACTGTAAGGTTTTCATGAGACTCTCTGAATGATGGAACTGGATCTTTTTGTAGATGTTTGTACATTAAAATAGACGTACACTTATTTAAAATAATGTTATATACATTGTTTGTAAACTAGTGTTTTAAATAGCTATTTAATGTTGATCTAGGAACAATTATGATAGAAGTTGTTTGTTATTCTTGGTGGCACTGATGGAAGTGTACAGTATTTGTGTGTTATCTTTGCATAAACTAAAGCGAAAACATAATGGAGTCAGGCATTTCAAATTTCAGGTTCTAAAAAGTTGACATCCAGTGGGTAATTCTAGAATTAGAAATGAATTGATTATAGAATTCCTCCATTTCTTGGAGCACAAGACTGCATTTAAACCTTGTATATTTGCAGTCTCTACCCCAAAGCACAAAAGGACAGAGTACAGTAACATCTAGTACAGGTCAGAAAGTTCTGACAAGCCGCAGTGGATGACAAAACTACTGGAGAAAAAACAACTGTGACATAGTCCATAATACATAGTAAACCCTCACTAACGTCTCTATAAAAGCCAGTCCTCCCATTTTACACCAGTTTCAGTGATAAACCATCAGCACAACATGGACAGGTTTGAGGAAAAGCTAATTATCTACACCAGTTTGAATTTTTATATTTCTTGATGCAGTAATATCACTTTACAGCTGACCTCTGCTAAGCCTACCTCCAAATATTTGAACTGAGAGTCAGTACTGTTGCCTTGAGGGGAGGTCTGTTTAAATTGATATCAGATTGATTCGTGGCATGTTCTGATCCTGCATCAGCATGTACAGGCCAGTTTCTCTTCCCTCACTGCCTGAGTGTGAAGCATTAAGAGTCATTTAAAAAATGGCATTTGTATGCTTTGTGTATTTCAAAAAGAAAATATTTGTGCTTTGCTTTTTGTCCATGTCTTGTTTTGTTTAAGAATGCATATAAACTATTTTCTATTTGTGTGCTTTAAGTAATAAAACTTAATGCAACAATTCACTCACTTTGACTTTGGACTTTTTGTGCAATTATGGGACATAGCAGGTTGTTGAATAAAAGTCACAGAAGTTGGATTATTTATTTTTTTTTAAACAAATGTTACAAATAATTAAAAGGATATTGCAAAAGATTAAAAATGATGATAGGAAAAGTTTTGTTTTATTTAAAGCATTTTGGTTGGACAAAGGAAACATGAAGAAACACCTGAAATATTTTTTAAATAATTTGTTAGTTTCCTTGTTAGGTTAGAAGTTTAGAAGCACCAAGAGACATGGCAATGCACTCAAACCAAAGTAGTGTTTGTTGTTTTATTATTTAACTATTTTTAACAATTTGTGCTATAAGAAGACCAAACTAAATAAAAAGCCTAATATTTTATCCAATAAATTAAAACATGTTGTAGAGTGATTAATGGTACTGCATTACAGCAAATCTTTTTCAAACAGCGGGTGGCGGTACCGAGCTGCAGGCGAATCTGTTCCTCGATCTGTTTACAGGAGAAGAAATACACAGTGTGTGTCGGTGTCAACAAAAACAAAGCGGCGCTATGAACGAACAGAAATGGATACAGACGTTAACTCGATTTCAGGTATTTATTTATTTTTTCATTATCATTGGAGATCCTCAAGTGTGCATGTATTTTTGTAAATATTGTATAAGTAAATGACTTTGCCCTGTGTCGGAAAAGAACCTGGGTACGTTGACAGTTTGTGTTTGTTTAAACTTTACAACCAGCAAGTTCATTGTTTTAATTTGTTTATAAAATTGTTGGAGTTTATCTGATTTTCCTTAGTCCTGAGGTGTCTGTTTTTTTTCAATCAATTCATTTTTTTCTCTTTTCAATTTAATAGATTGCTATGAAATTTGCTTTTGTCAACGCTTCTGTTTTTTGTGCTTTATAATCGTTTAAGAATGCATATAAACTATTTTCTATTTGTGTGCTTTAAGTAATAAAACTTAATGCAACAATTCACTCACTTTGACTTTGGACTTTTTGTGCAATTATGGGACATAGCAGGTTGTTGAATAAAAGTCACAGAAGTTGGATTATTTATTTTTTTTTAAACAAATGTTACAAATAATTAAAAGGATATTGCAAAAGATTAAAAATGATGATAGGAAAAGTTTTGTTTTATTTAAAGCATTTTGGTTGGACAAAGGAAACATGAAGAAACACCTGAAATATTTTTTAAATAATTTGTTAGTTTCCTTGTTAGGTTAGAAGTTTAGAAGCACCAAGAGACATGGCAATGCACTCAAACCAAAGTAGTGTTTGTTGTTTTATTATTTAACTATTTTTAACAATTTGTGCTATAAGAAGACCAAACTAAATAAAAAGCCTAATATTTTATCCAATAAATTAAAACATGTTGTAGAGTGATTAATGGTACTGCATTACAGCAAATCTCTTTCAAACAGCGGGTGGCGGTACTGAGCTGCAGGCGAATCTGTTCCTCGATCTGTTTACAGGAGAAGAAATACACAGTGTGTGTCGGTGTCAACAAAAACAAAGCGGCGCTATGAACGAACAGAAATGGATACAGACGTTAACTCGATTTCAGGTATTATTATTATTTTTTTATTATCATTGGAGATCCTCAAGTGTGCATGTATTTTTGTAAATATTGTATAAGTAAATGACTTTGCCCTGTGTCGGAAAAGAACCTGGGTACGTTGACAGTTTGTGTTTGTTTAAACTTTACAACCAGCAAGTTCATTGTTTTAATTTGTTTATAAAATTGTTGGAGTTTATCTGATTTTCCTTAGTCCTGAGGTGTCTGTTTTTTTTCAATCAATTCATTTTTTTCTCTTTTCAATTTAATAGATTGCTATGAAATTTGCTTTTGTCAACGCTTCTGTTTTTTGTGCTTTATAATCAACATGACTAGAACTTAGTTTAGTCGCAGTATCAGGAAAGTAAAGCTAATATTGCGTCCTCTCCAGGCTCAGTGTCGTGGTTATGCGATGAGGAAAGGTCTGAGTTTGGGTCGGACTCAGTTTGAAGAGATAGTGCGAGAGATTGATGGAGGATTGGATCACCTGCAGTGGAGAGGAAACATCATTCCCAGACCTCACTTCACTGACACTGTGAGCCTCTCTGCCATTGCCCATATCTCATTATTTTAAAACATCATAAGCTGTTTATTTGTTACTCGTAGAAAGTATGCTTTAAAGTTCCATTATCACTTTAAACATTTTTTTTAGATAATGTCTTGATGCTGCATAATGATAGATGTGTATAATGTAATCTACAGGAAAGCCTATTGCTGCAGTATGAACGTTCCAGGTTTCAATCCCATGACCTTCTGGATGATTCCGAGATGGAACGGAAGACAGAGAATGAGGGCAGTGAGAAATCTCTCCCACAGTCTGAAATCCAGGTACCGGAGAAAGACGAAGCTACTGAAACAGCTAGCAGAGACACTTCCACATCTGTGGATGGTATTGTGGACAAGAGAGGAGAGAATGTGGTCATACAAAACCTGATGGATGATTCTACTGCACTTTGCAGTATCGTGAATTCAGATGTCAGCCTCAGCAACTTATTGCAGACAGGTGCTTTGAGAAGAGATTTTGACACAAAAAGGATACAGAAGTTTTTTAAAAACAGACGGGACTTGTTTGAGACACTTATGTGGTTTTGTTTTGTTTTGTTTTGGCAGGACCAAATTTGCATTCAGTTTTTGAAGAGACGGTACATACTCCTGACTCTCTGAAGCAGCAGCGGAGCACTTTAGCCATGGAGTTGCTGTGGATCCAACAAGCCATCAGTAGCAGAAAGAAAGTGAGAAAACGTTAGAATTTTTAGCATTAATGTTTATATGTATGTATCTATGTCTCTCTGTGTGTTTTAGTCTATAAACATATTCTGCTCTGCTTCTTTTGTAGTATCTTACCCTCAAACAGAGAATGGATGTGCCACACTGATACTGGAGCAGTTCTGAAGCTGTATTATTATTATTATTATTATTATGTGTTAGTCTATCATTTACGGCACAGAATGTTTGAGAATTGTAAATTATATTTATTTATAAGCTTATGTAGTCCATACACAGGTTTGTGTTAAAGAAGATTTTTATTTTTGTACAAATGGCATTTCAGAAATAAATATATGCACATACACATTAATTTTTCTGTATCACAAAAAACCATACTGTTCGATCCTGGATGGACCACAAAGACTCCCACAACTTAATCTTACAGTTCAGTCAATGTAGTAACATATCAATTTATTACTGACATTATATTTGAACTGTATAACCGCATGAGAACGGACCTCTTGGTGTTGCCTGGTTTCTTTCAAGGTTTTTTCCTCCATTTTCCAAATTCAATGTTTTTCTTGGCTTGCTAGAGCTGCATTTGGCTTGCACACCAGGGTACTGAATATTATATAGATTACTACGAACAATGTGTTATGTATAAGTAGTATTATGCCATGTCTTCCAATTAACCCCTTAGTTTAGCTACAATTTATGGGTGGGTGATATAATCAGTATTTTAACCCTATCTTTAATATGCACAATTCATAGTTTATATCGTCGCATAATACGCTATATTATTGCCTAGCTATATATTTAAAGATGGATATGACCTAGTACATTTACTTTACATGTACACAAACAGTATACGCACATAAAGCGATAAACTATACAGCAAATTTCGGCTGGGTGATTGTTTATATCGTCCATAAATGTAAACTGTTATTGCACTGCTCGATATACGAAGTTGGATGTATACAGTAATCCAACTTTATCCACATGCATAGGCTGCTGTACATTCACGAAGCGATATGCAGTATATAGCAAATTCTAAGTGTTTGATTGTTCATATCAGCATAGGCCTAAACTGTTATCACCCAGCTCGAATCCGCCAAATCCGACTATAGATATTATAAACATGTATGTTAGCCTGCTTTGCTTTCAGTTGTGAAGAGCTATACAAATAAAATTAATTAAACTTGACAACATACAATCCACAAAATGATATTATAATTGAATTTAACAAACTTGACCCGTTTAATCCCAAATTTTTCCCAGACATGAAAATATCCAAATGATGTGTCATTAGTAACCCTTTGAAATAATTATTTTTTGAAAAATCTTTGGAAAAGTGTGTGAAACATTATGTTTTATGGTCGGTCACAATTGTGACCGGTGGGATAATGTGTAGCCTATACTGAATTTACATTATTCTAAAGTAAAAAATGTCTTTATATATCTTAGCCCAGCTATTTTAAACTGTTTGATCACATTCTAGGGTTACTGTTGTGCATAAAAAACCCTTATACAACATTGATAGGAATACTGAGATAAAAAAATACAAACATCAAACATATTTCAAAATTTTTATATCAGTGCTACCAGTACTACAGCATCAATATTGTAACTTTTTTTGCAAACAGAAAATAAACTGCTCTGGTCATGTGACAATGTGCACTAACCATGTGAAACTGCACATATTAAATTGAGACCCTTTATTTTTTCTATATTTGCAGAAAGTGTACTAAAACATAAGTCAGTAAGGTTTTTAGAGCTTTATCAATGAAATTTTTTTTTACATTTAAATGTTGCTGCTGGCCGTTTTTGACTAAATGTCACAGAATTTCTGACTTGCTGTTTTATATTTATTGCAAATGATAAAGGCTGTTTTTCTTCTTTATCGCTTAACAGGTTCTTTGTGTCCCTGTGTTTAAATGTTTCTGTTGTCGGTGGGTGATGATAAGGGGCATAATTCACTAAAGATACTTCAAACAAACACCATATTTTCATTTTGAATGTCAAATTTTCAAAACCAATTTATTTAGCCTATTCAAGTAAAATAAAGTGATTAATTTTCATTTCTTGAGAAATAGAGGTGATGTTGTCTAGATCAGTGCTCCTGGAGGCACCCCAACACTGCATGTTTTGCATGTCTCCTTAATCAAACACACCTGATTCAGGTCATCAGCTCATTAGTAGAGACTCCAAGACCTGAAACTGGTGTGTGAGAGAAAGGAGACATGCAAAATGTGCAGTCTTGGGGTGCCTTCAGGACCAGGGTTGGGACCACTGGTCTAGATTACGTAATTAATCATTTGCCCTCTCTACTCTAACCCTCTTCCCCTCCCTCACCTTCTCTGTGGTGTTGTTGCCGCCATAGTTAGCAATGCTGCCATGGCAACCAGGAAACACTCCTGTGTGTGTGTGTGTGTGTGTGTGTGTGTGTGTGTGTGAGAGAGAGAGAGAGAGAGAGGGGGGGAGGGAGTCTGGGGGAGGAGTTTGAGTCTCTCACACTCAGTGCTTTAATATATTAGACATATACACTGAAAAATAATCAGCACAAATAACAGACCTGATGAACTTAGAGTTTTTCTCCAGGTGATTAACTGGATTACATACGCTGTCTCTGTAAGTATTTTTGTGAGTGTGTGTGGATTTGTACACACGTGAATGCTTGAGCTGTAAGTGAATCAATTTGTGAGTTTTTGTGCATTTAATGTGTGAATGAGGATTGGATTTGTACTTTTACAGTGTTATTAACACATTTATGGTTAAATTTTGATGGCTTAAGTAAGCTATCCTATGTAGGAGTTGCTCTCAGTTTGTGTTTTTTATTTTAATTTTTTTTACAGGTGTGTGTTAATGTGGCTAGTTTTGGATCATGGCATCCACTGGTGTCACTAGTCACCTGCCTCCAGTCAAGAGTGTAAAGGTCTACAGAAATGGAGACCCCTTCTTTTCAGGTTAGAACTGGTTCTGAAACAGTTTTGGTGGGTTGTTTTGTTGCACACATAAGGCTTAAAAATGTTACTGTATAGCCTAATTGTGTATACTGCAACATGTATTTTATTTCATCATTTTCACAGCTCTCTTGTATATGTCTGAAATGAAACTACACGTGTCTTACTTAATGTCTCTTTATGAATGTCTTTCTGGATCAGGAAGGAGATTTGTGGTAAACCAGAGGCAAATCTCCAACATGGATGCGTTTCTTAATGACATCACTCTCAGTATTGGAGCTCCGTTAGCTGTTCGAAGTCTCTATACGCCGCGCTATGGTCATCGGGTCGCAGACCTTAGTGACCTACAGCAAGGGGCACAGTATGTGGCTGCAGGGTTTGAGCGCTTTAAGAAACTAGAGTAAGTGTCAATTCATTCATAATGAGAAAAATCTAAATGATAACACTTTCCATTAAAGTTTAATGGTCTGATCTAGATGCTGAGACTCAGTGGTCCCAGTGTTTGGACACTTCAGCCACGCTTAACATTGTATGAGTCAGTGTTGTTGTTGTTAACTAAAACTAAAATAAAATGAAAAAATGTTTTCAGAAATTAAAATAAAATGTAAGTATAAGATTAAAAATGAAAACTTTAAAAAACTAAATGAAAATTAGAAATGGCAACTCACTGAAACAAATATGATGAAATAAAGTTGTTGTAGTACTAAATTACTAAAAGCAATTTTTTACTAAAAAAAAAGAAAACTTGTAAAAGTTACTAAAACTAAAATTAAGTTGAAAACTACTCCAACTCTGAAAATATATAATAATAGCTAATATATTCATATATCAAAATATTAATAAATATAACAGTAGATAAATAATCCTAAAATAACACTGAATCACGTGGCTTCTACAAAACAAATGGTACTGCTCATTTTATGAAATTTTTGTATCCAATTGGTCTCAGAATTATTTTTAGTAGATGTATAAGGTCAGTTTCCCTTAGTATATATGTATTATTTATGTTTTATCCTTTAAAACCTTTAAAAAGGTATCTTGCTAAGTGTGCATTAAGTATTTTTATAATTACATACATTAACGACATACCAGTTTATTTAATTACAATTAAAATCCCATTTTATAGAAAATGGCCTTTTAGAGAGGTGTTAATGTAGGGAAAATGAAAGTAGAATTTATGATCTGGCATCATGAAATTAGATTCCAGATTTATTGTTTCTGGTTGAAAAGGGTTAATATTGTGATAATGGCTAAAAGATGCATCATGTTTTTGCTTGTCTTTTCTGTATATGTTTAGTTATCTGTCTGCAGGACTGAAGAAAGGTCCACTGTGCAGAGTTGTGGAACCAGCCCAGGTATACATGTGAGAGTTCAGTGCTTCTTACTGTTTATTTGTGATTTTTTTATTATTTATTATTCAGGTTAATTGCAGATCTGTGCAATTCATCTGTAAGTCATGGTATTCTTTACATTTAGGAATAAAAAATCATACAAGATCCAGTCAGTGTGTCTTGTTTGTTATGTTGTGTTTGTTTTTTTTGTTGCTGTGGATGCTTAGCTGAAGTGTGTCACGAAGAGGAAGTGAGGGAGTGAGGGATGTTATTGTCCCTTCCAACAATAGAAGGCCAGGGGAGACACGCTGCTAGTGTTATCAGATTAGAAAGCTTGTTAGGGCAAGTTTAAGTGCCTGACCCCTTAATGCTGCACACAGAGCTGCTAAAACCACTGTTGATAATAGCCTTGAGAGCAGGGGACACTGACTCAGCATCAACACACACTGCATCTTTGATTTACGCTGATGGAAAATCACTTAGCCTGCTTATTACACAGCTCTTTGTTAAATAAATAAATGGACCTGAAATATTGAATTCCAGTTATTTTATTATGTGACAATAAAGAGGCCGCAAACGCAAAGTGATATGAGAGACATGAAGATTTGAGGGAAATTAGTTTCCTCAGAAAACGGCCAATTATACAGTTTAACTTTCATTATACAAAAACATATGACCTTAGAAATGCTGTGATTGAGTATTCTGATTGTAGTTAACATAATACATTGCTAATTAATAATATGTAACTCTTTTCCCAGGTTAAGATGCTTGTCAGGCCTAATGTGTCTGCAAAATGGAGGAAGGCCATCACTCTGCCCTTCATCATACAGTGAGAACTCAGACATTTAAATGCACACTTTTCTTCTGTTAAACCAGTTTTTCTTTTCCTTTCACAAGAGATCCAAACTTCATTCTCCTTTTCACATTCACATAGTGTATTTCGGAATGGAGACGTCCTCAGTCCTGCCATGCGTCTGATCATTCCCCGCCACATGCAGAAAAATCTAGAGCAGATTCTGAGTCTAATTTCTGAAAAAGCCATGCTTCGCACAGGAGCCGTGCGCAGGTATTCAGTCACACATACAATTTGTTTTATAATGAACTTATGAAGCATGTCATATTTATTTCCTCACACATTGTTTAAGGTTGTTTTCATTTCCACAATCAATTCACCTTTCACCTCTCAGGCTTTGCACTCTAAAGGGTTTCACAGTGACCTCCACAGAGGAGCTGGAGAGCAGGCAAAGCTATGTAGCTGTGGGAACAGAGAGGTTCAAGAAGCTTCCATATGTAGAGATACTGCTGAATAAAGCAACAGGCAACAGCGCGGACAGGTGATGTTGGTGGATAATTGGGATAGACAGTAATGTTGGGATAGACAGTAAGTTATTAAAAATTTTGGGGTCTGAAATTATTTTAAAGAAATTAATACTTTTATTATTTCTTAACAGTACTCTATTCATCAAAGAACCCTAAAAAATGTATCACAGTTTCCACGAAAGTTTAAAGCAGCACGGCCGATATCAACATAGAAATGTTTCTTTAAAGACTTATAGAAATGATTTCTTTAGGATCAGGTGGCACTGAAGACTGAAATAATGGCTGCTGAAAGTTCAGCTTGCCATCACAGGAATAAATTACATTTTAAAATATATTCAAATAGAAAAGAGTTGTTTTGACTGGTAATAATATATTGGAATATTACTGTTTTACTCTATAGCAAATAAATCTAGCCTTGGCGAGCATAAAAGACTTCTTTCAGAAACATTAAAAAGTCTTACAGACTCCAAACTTTTGAATGGTAGTGTACATATAAATAAAACAGGATCTGTCTGTCTTCACTGTAGACATTATGCAGGTGACAGAGGATTACAGAGAAGAATTGAGGTACTTTTTATTTCTAGTTGAAATGCATCTGAGAAAATTATTAGCCTTTTAACTAAAAAAATAACAAATCATAAAAATTAGCACATTTATTTGAGTAAAAAGGTGTACAAAAAAGTTTTCTGAATAAAATGTTTAATCCAAAACTTTATTTCTAAGGCTAAAGTAGATTTTTAATTTTAGACTTTTTAATGTGGTCTCAGACTTATGGACTCCACTGTATATTTAATTTTAATATGTTAGGAAAATACATTTCCATGAGACAAATTGTTCTATTGAAGTTCTTTAATGTCATGATGATCCCACTCAGAGCAGAAAGATGTTTCCTCAGGAAAGCCACAGTGACTCCACCCTGATGAATTCACCTGAGGTAAAAACCAAATACATTGTTATTTTCAATGTACATTGATATTTATATATACAGTGCCTTTGCGAAAGTATTCATTAATTCATTTTTTTAAAACATTTTATGTTGCTGCCTTATGATAAACTTCTTTAAATGCCTTTTTCCACATCAATCTACACTCCATACACCATACTGACAAAGCAAAAACAGAATTGTCACAACTTTCTTATTTCTTAAAAATAAAGTGACAAGCTTTGCTCATCAGCATTTGGCAGTTATCTGTCATTCTTCACCTCATCTGTTCACCTCTCAAGCTCTGTCAGGTTGGATGGGGGCAGATGCACATTTTCAGGTTTCTCCAGAAATATTTGATTGGGTTCAAGCTCAGGCTGTGGCTGGGCCACTCAAGGACATTCACACAGTTGTCTATAAGCCACTCTTGCTGTGTGCATAGGGTCATTGTCCTGTTGGAAGGTGAACCTTCTGCCCAGTCTGAGGTTCTGAATGCTCTGGACAGGGTTCTCAATATTTTGCTGCACTGGGCGTTTCCTCTAACGAGTCTCTCAGTCCCTGCTGCTGAAAAACAGTCCCACAGCATGAGGCTGCTACCAGCACACTTTACTTTTGGGATGGTACTCTGCAGGTGATGAGCGGAGCTGGTTTCCTTCAAACATGATGCTTAGAATTGAGGTTCATCAGACCAGAGAATCTTGTTTCTCAGAGTCTGAGGGTCGTTTAGGTGCTTTTTTTGTAAATTCCAAGTGTGTTTTCATGTGTCTTAATTGAAGAGGATTGAGTTTGGCCACACCGCCATAAAGACTGGATTGGTTAGTAATATCTACAAGCAAAATGAATGCTCCTAGGCTAAATTTCAACTGTCCCAGATAAGGGTATGAATACTTATGCAATGGAATCATTTTAGTTTTTTATTTTTAATAAATTTGCAAAGATGTAAAAAAAGTTTTTTTGCTTGACAATTATGGTGTATGGAGTGTAGATTGTTGTAAAAAACTAATTTAAAGCAGTTTAACATAAGGTAGCAACAAAACAAAATGTGAAAACAATTAAGGGGTATGAATACATTCCCAAGGCACTGTATATATATCTACTTGTTTATACTATATTTTTTGTTTTCCTGCTTCAGATCAAAGCCTTCAGATCATTGTCCCACTAGAACATGTCACAATCACAATCATCCTGTAAGCATCTTGTGTAAATGGTGTCTGCTTTCAGAGGGAAGGCAGGCGTGTGAAGTCCACAGGAGATGAGGTGGAGCGAGAGAGCTCCCCTCAGCCGGTTAAGAGGAGAGGAAGGAGAGGAGAAAGAGAAGAGAACTCTGTTTTCTACGCCAGACCTGTGAGAGTCCGCAGACACCCTCCCACAAACAGACCCCCTCCTAGAGCCGCAATAGGTGAATGCTGAATAAATAAAAAATAGTATCTCATACTGTGTCTAAAATGTAACCTTTTATTTAACTGTGTGATATTGTTTGTGTTAGATGAGCCCAGTGTGTTTAAGGCCTCTGAGAGCAGGATGAGAGAGGAGGTTCGAGGTGCTGAGGAGGTCGCAGAGGATGAAAACACAGCTGTAGAGCTTCACATTGACCAGGTACACCTCTCATCTTCTTTTGTCTCATCTCATCTCATCTTCTATAAAAATGTTTATAATTTCAGAGAGAAGCAGAAGTTGTAGAGGATGAGGAGCTTCTTGAAAGAGATCCGTTTGATACAGCCAATATAAATCACGTGAGTGTGTGAAATACACAGGAATTGAAAGTAATGATGACTCGATCATGAATTAACTCCCTGTTTGTTGTATTAAAGAGGAATTCAGCTGAACTACACAGGTCATCATCTGATCTCTCCAGTGAGAACGGAGAGAAAGAGTTCATAGTGTCTGAGAGGGAGACATGGGAAGACACGTCAGCTCCACAGAGAGAAGCACAGCAGGGATACACGTCCAGCAAAGAGTCTCAGCATGATACAAACAAACATGATGCTGTAAGACGCAGTGCATTGAGCATTGACCTTATTTTATTGCATTTTTATGTCTTATTTGTGTTTCACTTTGGCTTTAAAGTGTGTGTGTGTGTGTGTATATATATATATATTGTAGAAGATATATACATTGTAGAAGATATATTATACTATCAAATCATACAGACTGTTTTTCAGGCCTGTCATCTATGTACAGTAAAAAGCCTTGATGAGTTGAGATTTTTTCTTTGTTTAAAATTAGGAGTCATTCACACGGCATTCCAGATCTTCATCATCATCTTCATCACCCAAAGTCTCTAAACATTCCCCACGAAGTGAAGTAACACAGCAAGAACCTGTCAGTTTATAAGTTTTAAACAATATATTTAATGCATTTAATTATACATGGAAATGATGCTGTAGTGTTTTGACATTTATTTTCCCTTATATTGTCATTCATATTAAAGGCCTGATATAATGGTACACTCTCAAAAAAAGTTACCAAACTGTCACTGCTGTGGTACCTTTTCAAAAGGTACTAATATGTACCATTTAGGGGAAAATAAGGTACATAGATCTTTTTTGTACTGCCTCAGTGACAGAACTATTACAGATAGTGAAATTAGATGTGGGAGACTTACATATTTAGCTATTATTAAAATTGTGTAAATATTAACCATCTAAACATAATGTGTTGCTCTCTATGTGTGTGTGTGTGTGTGTGTATCAGACTGGGGGTTCCCATGAGGAACAGACAGACAGGGATGCTGAGCGACCTCTCCATCCTGAAGATGATGCAGAAGATAGAGACACACCTTTACAATCCACACACATTCTCTGAACATAGAGTTCACTATGAAATTGGTATCGTTTTGGTGAATGAATAGCATTTAAAATAATGTACCCTTGAAAAGTAACAGTGATCTTACAGCATGCAGAGATTCACTGAGAAGTGTTTTTATTTTTTTATTTCTTCTGTTTAACAAAATAAGACCTCTGAATGTAAAAGACATTTAAAATAAATGTATTTAAACACTGGGCACTTTAACATTATTAATACAAATCCATAAAAATATCAGTTAATAATACAATATATACAAGTATTTTGTATATTCCACAATCCACATACACTTAAAAGTTACTCTTTCCACAGTTGCATTTAAAGTGCAAAACATTTGGATTTCACCAACATGGTTCAAGTACAGATATAAAGTCATCCATCACCTCTTAGCAGAAGTTCACAGCACATACTGAAAATGAAGCAGCACAGATATTGTGTCAGATGAATATGTGTGTGTGAGGTGTGATCACATGGTTGGAGCAGATTCAGGTCCTCCTTCACCTCCCAGTCCAGTGGCAGGTTTCAAAGATCACTTGTGTTGCGGGGCTCCCGCGCCGTCTGTCTCAGAGACAGAATTCAGCATGCACACAGTCACTCCAGACATGATGAGTAACATACCCAGCACAGCTCCTACATGAGCAGAGGCAGAGAGTAGTGCTGTCAAATGATTAATCGCATCCAAAATAAAAATTTTGTATACATAATATATGTGCACTGTGTATATTTATTATGTATATATAAATACACACATGTACAGTATATATTTTGAAAATATTTACATGTATATACATATTCTTTTAAATTATATATAAATATGTTTAATATATAAACATAAAATTTTTCTTAAATATATACATGCATGTGTTTGTATTTATATATACATCATAAATATACACAGTAAACATATTATGTAAACAAAAACCCTTATTTTGGATTCGATTAATCGCGATTAATCGTTTGACAGCACTAACAGAGAGTCAAAGACCTGTGTAGCTACAGAGAGAGAAAGTGATGTTACTAGCACAGAAGCTACTTACTCTTTTCTCCAAAGTCTTCTCCAAGCAATTTACCCATTAGTAACGTGAACAGAAATGTGAGTTCACCATGGGAACAGCCAGAGACAGATCTACAAAATTCAACACTAGTGCTGGCTAATATGTGTGTGTGCTCACAAAGAGTTTAAACCTTCCTTAATATTTTGAGTAAAAAATTGTTCATGGCTGCACAGAGGTTATGGTTGAAACAGAATACTAACTGAACACTAAACAGCAAGCATATGCTGCCAACAGTTTAAATTAAAAAAGACATTTCATACTGTCGTGCTTAATTTGGCAATTGCCAACCAATCTTAGATCTTAGCAACTCTTCTTAGAAATAAAATTTTTTGTTGCATCAAGTCTTTGTGCAAAATGTTATCTTTTAGCAGCCTGATTCAAAAAAGTTTAGTGCATCACACAGTGGGCTAGTATTACAGTATTCTCTGTATTATACTGCTCATTTTTGCCAGTGTTATATGTCATTCAGATATTCCATATATACAGATAACTTGAATATTGTGCACTGTACAGTATACTACTGCATGAATCCAGCTTCAGCCTCATATATACTGTAAAAACAGTAGTATGATACTATACTACTAAGAATATAGATAGTCAATACTTAGAAACTTGTGAAGAAAAATAAACTTCTCACCTAGAAGCAAGAGTGACCAAATGATCCACTTTGGTTTAACAGAAATGGGATCAAATAAAATATATTAATTATAATTACACCAGTGTTGGGCTAGTTACTAAAAGAATGTATTACTCATTACTAGTTACCCCTTTCAAAAGTAATATTGTTTCTTTACTTATTACTTTCTGGCAACAGTAATTAGTTACACTACTAGTTACATTACTTTTTCTTCGCACCCCACAGAAGTTGTAACTGTGTATCTTCCTCCACATAAAATTGTTCTAGAATGTTACTAACAACATATTTCTGCCTCATCATTTGACCAAAATCCACACTGGATCGTAGTCAGAAGTTATTACAAACACTCAATAGTGATTAATAGTGACATTCAAGTAGAAGTGTTGTATTAATCTCATTAATTGTCATGTGTACCTTGAAGCTAATTGTTTCTCTGTTTCTCTATTTGTAATTTCTCTGTTACCCATATACAATTATATTTCATTATGTATTTTATCAAATCACATTAGTTTGTGAGAAATTATTTAATTTTCCAAAAAGATTTTTACTTATAGTAATATAATGTACCACATGCTGATCAGAGGGATGTGGGTGAGATGTAATGCCAGAGTAAAGTAAAGCCACAACTTACACAACAGTGTTCAGATCATCTTTTTTCCTGACAAAATCAATATAATGCAATATTTCTATCTGCTGAATGTAAGCTTTTCCATATTCCAAGCTTGCCTGCTGCACTGGGGACATCACATGCATGTGCGAGTCGTGAAAATTATGAAAATAAATCAATGAATTATTTGCTTGTTGGATTTTAAATCAGCGGGGTTGAGGCATCAAAAGTGACTAAGCTGTTTTATGGATGGTAACGGTAATATTATTACTGAAATCTTATTAGTAATTAGTTACACTACTAGTTACTGCCAAACACTGAATTACACACACTAAATTGATCATAAGCACTTATTATGTACGCATAAAACAACTATAAAAACACACCTTGATATTGAGAAACACAAGAATTTGACCTCAGCCAGAAACTGGAGGAGTTTGTTGTCCTTCTGAACCCCTTCAATGCCCTCTGTGCATTTTTTCATGAATGGGTTTGTGCATGTGCCTTCCCACAAGATCGCTACCAACAACAGACAAAACACTTCACCTACAGAGAACATTATTATGACAGAAATGTATATTACATACATTTAAAACAATAATAAATTAAATTTTTTGAAGCACAATATGGAGTGTCTACAGATCACCTAATTATTGTAATTATTATTTTCTGTTTACTTGATGCACAGTTCAGAAAAAGCATTCTAATGTATCTAATTTAAAGTTACTAGTACTTATTTTTTAGATACTAGTATCTTTTCCATTAAGTACTACTTATTCTTTAGGTACTAGTGCTTATTCTTTAGTACTTGTGTCTTTTGTAAAGTTACTAGTACTTATTCATTAGATACTAGTACTTATTTCAATAGTGACTAACTATTATATTGTTACTAGTAACAAATTAAACATTTTTGCCATTGACTTATATGGGGATCCGTCATTGAGATATCAACTATTCAGTTTTGACTAGTATGTATTCCACTAGTGACTAGAACTTAATTTTTATGTACTTGTAGTTATTCATTTGGTACTAATACATATTTTTTAGATACTAGTACTCATTCATTAGGTACTAGTTCCTATTAAATAGACACTAGTACTTATTCATTAGATACTACTTATTATTAGATACTAGTACTTATCTATTAGATACTAGTACTTATTCATTAGGTACTAGTACCTATTAAATCGATACTAGTACTTATTCAATAGATACTAGTACACATTTATTAGATACTAGTACTTGTTCGAAATGCTGCTAGTAAGATTTTTTTAAATTTTACTAGTAAATTTTTTAATTGAACTCTACTGTAGCCATTTGGACTAGTCATAACATAAGACGAGTAAAAAAGCAGATCTGACTAGTAAGATAAGAATTGTTACTAGTAGTAATTACAAAAGATACTAATGTCTAATAAATAACTAGTACCTAATGAATAACTACTAGTATCTATTAAATAAGTACTAGTATCTAATGAATACGTACCAGTATCTAAAAAAAGTACTAGTAGTATCTAATGAATGCTTACTAGCAATATTTAAATAGATACTAGTCACTATTGCAATAATTATTAGTCAGAAAATGAAAAGATGATATCATAAACAGAATAACTACCACTCCCTGTTCATTTGGAGATATCTTAAACCTCATTAAAAACTAGTGATAATATATTTAGAGATACCTTCATTTAAACAGATCATTACATAAACATGAGTACCTCTTCACCGTCCAATCAGAGTCCACATGGTAATACAATACATTAATATGCTGAATTAATTTGATTGTTAAATAGGGCTAACTGGCTTTGTATGTTAGCCTATCTTGCTAATTGGTTACCATGAAAACACAAGAAACGATTACAAACCTGTTGTTCAACAAAAGTATAATGACATGTTTTACTCCAAATTCACTTCATAACATCATAACATCAGCCGAGTCTTTGAAATAACTTATTTTTGTGATCTGACATGGTTTGACTTAACAGAATGAGGCATAAATCATGCCACTTTATATGATTCTATACTGTCATAAAGGCTATGTTGATTAGCATTGCATTTTAATTATACTTTATTCTTATAAAAATACCCGAGATGGCTTGAAGAACACAGATAAACCATATATTGTCGCAATCATTGTTTATTTTCTTCATGTTTCATCAGTAAAATGTCTATCTGTATGTTATTCAGCTACATCTACAGCGAAAGCTGCAGTTGCCCCTCACTGCAGAACACAAGATCCAGGGGGCGTGGTTGGATCCACATCTAGGGGGTGGAGATGGGTTTGGATCCACATCTAGGGGGTGGAGATGGGTGGGTTTAGGGATCAGGGGTGGAGACGGGTAGGTTTAGGTATATGTAAGGTGGGAGGAGTTGGATCTGGATCCAACCACGCCCCCTGGATCTTGTATTCTGCAGTGAGGACCATCTCGAAAGCTGACCCTGCGTCTCAATGTTCATATATCCATCCTAAATAGTATGTGAGATTAGAATAAGTGTGTCCCAAAGCATAGTATGTTGAAAAGAGTATGCCAAA